CTGAGACGCAAAGATACGGCGCGAGGTGGGGTGGTAAAACTGCCAACCAGGCGCGTCAGGGACAAAGCCAAGGAAGACATAGGGAACAGCGCGGGCGGAGAGCTTGTCCGCGGTGGTATCGCGGACAAAGGTACGAGCACCCCAGACCCGGAAACGTGACGCATCGCCAACCTTCCCCGTCCACAGCAGTGTGGGCGAGGTCTCCGGCAAGGAGACACGGGGCCAGAGGTTGAGCTGATGCGCGGCGTACCGGACCGCAAACGGCCACAGAAAATGGGGGGCAGCCGCATGGATCATGGAGGTACGAGCGACCTCCATGACTAAGCCAATGCGGCGCTCAGCAACCCCATTCTGCTGAGGAGAGGCCGGAAGCGTGAACGTCTGGCGGATGCCGTGCTCCGCACAGTAGGCTGCCAAGAGGTCTGAGGTGAACTCACCACCTCTGTCAGAGTGCAGACGCAGGACAGGAAAGTCCCGCTGGAACCGCTCGCGGAGCTGGAGACGAACAGCGCGGATCCAAGGGATCAAAACATCAGGGACGTCCCCCTTGCTCTGCAAGGGGAAGACCGTGGTGTAACGCGTGTAGTCGTCGACGACCAGCAGGAAGTACCGCTCGTGGCCCTGTCCACGGACGCGGGCTGGGCCCCACACATCCATGTGGAGAGTTTGCAGGGGAGCCTCTGTGGGAGGGAACGAGGAGGAGTGAGGAGCGGCGCGCTGCCGCCCCTCAACGCAAGGAATGTAGGGCGGCGCAGGCGAGGGAGGGAGGGCAGGCAGAGACCTGGGAAGACCAGAGACCAGGGAGCGAGAGTGCATGCTACGAAGGCGAGGCAGGGAGGGGTGACCAAGGCGGTGGTGCCACAGGAGAGTGTCGTGCGACAAAGCGCGACACTCGCAGGGGGCCGCCAGCTGACCAGACGCAGACGCAGACGCAGCTACCTGAGGGGACTCAGTGGTCAGTGTGTACAGACTCGAGCTAGGTGCACGGGTGAACGTGGCCAAGTGTCGGCCCGTCCGAGCACACGTACAGTGAGTCACTCGCTGACTCGCAGGAGTGAACTGGTGAACCCCCCCATCCTGGAGGTCAGCTCCACTCACCAAGTTCATAGAAAACAAGGGGAGGTAAAGACCTGACAGCGAGCCAGACGGGGCGGCCGGACACGGCAGAACCGTGGAGTAGTGGGCAAGGACTGGACCCCCGGAGGGGTGTGCCAGGGAGACTGAAACTGGTCGACTGAGCGGTGTGAGTGTGGTGCAGTCGCGAAAGAAGGAGCGGGAAGCTCCTGAGTCAAGGGTGAAGGTGTGCAAGACCGCAGCAGGCGCAGTACCAGAGAGAGCAGACTCATTAGCACCTAGAGCAGCAGCCTCACCAGCACCTAGAGCAGGAGACGCACTAGCACCTAGAGCAGCAGCTGCACCAGCACCTAGAGCAGGAGACGCACGAGCACCTAGAGCAGCAGCCTCACCAGTACCGAGAGCAGCAGGCTCTATACCAGGGTCAGGCGGTACGCACAGGAAACAAGTACGGTCAACACTAGTAGGCAGTGCATAGATAGCAATGAGAATAGCATCATAGTCAAGAGCAAAGATATCTACCCTCTGTCCAAGCAGCTCTACCCAGGTGGGGAGCTCAGCCTTGTCGCCAAACTCGTTACGCCAGGCGTCGCTCAGACGGGCGAAGCAGCGGGACTGTGTGTGACCAAGCGTCCCGCAAGGCTGACCAGTCCTATCACCTGTGCGAATGACGTACGGGCAGCGAACTGTACGCGTAGACCTGCTACTCTGAGCGTACCACTCGTGGAGCTGCTGGGACGTAAGTGTCTCGCGTGGACGCCGCTGCAGCTGCAGCTGGCCACTGCCAGACGCTCCCAACTGACCAGCTCCAGGGCGACAGCTACGACGGCTACCGCGACAACCCCAACTAGCGTACCACTCACTAAGCTGCTGGGGCGTGAGAGACTCGCGTGAACGTCGCTGGAGCTGCATCTGGCCACCTGCCAGTAGCAGCAGTAGCAGTAGTAGCAGCAGCAGCAGCAGCAGTAGTAACAGAAGGAGCAGCAGTAGCAGCGCTGGCAGGGCAGGCGTGACAGGCAGGCAGGCAGGCAGGCTGGCAGGCAGGCAGGCAGGCAGGCAGGCAAGCAGGCAGGCAGGTAGGCCTGGCAGGCAGGCAGGCAGGCAGGCAGGCAGGCAGGCGGCGCGACAGTGCGCGAACAAGGCAGGTGCTCACCAGTGGCGGTCAGGGCCGGCGCACGGCGGGCGGCGGCCGGGTAGGCGTACGACGGCGGCGATGGCGGGGCCCGCGACAGCTGCGGCAGAGCAGGGCCGCGTCGGCGGTAGGGCAGGTCTGCGACAGCTACTGCAGGACGGGGCCGTGACAGCTGCAAGAGGCTCCGCGGCAGCTGCTGCAGGGCAAGGCCGTGACGGCGGCAGAAGGCTCCTCGGCAGCTGCTGCAGGGCGGGGCCGCGACTGGGACAGGCGGGGGCGACGTTCAGGGGGGGTGGTGTCGCGACAAACAGGGGCAGCCGCGGCGCGCGGGGCTGCAACGCGAAACGTGAGCTGCGGGCGCGGCACGCGAAGCCGCCGCGGGCTGCGCGAGGACGGCAGCCGCGGCGCGCGGGGTTGCAGCGCGACGCGCGGGCAGCGTACGCGACGCGCGGGGCTGTAGCGCGACGCGCGCGGTCGGGCAGAGGCTGCGCGCGGGCGGCGGGGTCTTGCAGGGGCAGCGCGCTGGCCTGACGGGCCTGCTGGGGCCGCGCGCTGGTCTGACAGGGCCTGCAGGGGCGACTCGCGGGCCTGACGAGGCCTGCAGGAGCGACGCGCGGGCCTGACGGGGCCTGCAGGGGCGGCGCGCGGGCCTGACGGGGCCTGCAGGGGCGACGCGCGGGCCTGACGGGGCCTGCAGGGGCGACGCGCGGGCCTGACGGGGCCTGCAGGGGCGACGCACGGGCCTGACGGGGCCTGCGGGGACGGCGCGCGGGCCTGACGGGGCCTGCAGGGGCGGCGCGCTCGTAGCTCGGGCAGTGCGCGGGGGAGCAGCAGGCAGGCAAGGCAGCAGCAGGCAGCGCGAGGGCTGCACGACGGCGCAGTCAGTGCAGCACGTCACAAGGCAAGGCAGGGCGCGCGCGTGAGGCGCAGCGCAGGCAAGACAGGCAAGTCAGGCAAGGCAGGGCGTGGGGTAACCTGGTAACCGCAATCGAACATTAGGTATTGGTGGGCCCGGAAAAAAAAAACGGTCCTACGGACCTACTGCTCTGAAACCATGTTAGAAACTAATGACAGGAATGAATGAACTAGCAGCATGCAGGAGTACAAGTAGTAAACCCTAATTGGGTTGTACCCCACATGGGCTACCCCACTACAGCCTAGACAATATGCAGCATATATGTTTGACAGTTACGAGCGCAATTGAGGAGCGAGAATTGCACTATCGAAGCAAAACAGTACATCGAGCGAAGGCATGAGCGAAGAATATATAGCGAAAAAAACTAGCATGGTAATGGTAATGCCTGAAAATGGTGTGCGTTACGAGTCTAGCGCCGAGGGTGGGAAATGTCGAGGCGGAGGTCCGGAGCGCGGGTTACCAACCGAACCGTGAGGTTGGGTCGCGTCGTGAACAGTGGCGGGAACAATATTTGAGGCGAGTGTCGCGAGTGGTAACGGTGTACTGCTGGGAACTGTTGGCGGGAACAGTGGTGTACGCGTTGAGCAGGGACGCGAAGTAAGAAATAGACAAGAAGTTCTCAAAACCTAAATCGTTTTGTTGGAGATTTTACTGTAACGAGTTCCTCCCTGCACCATCGCCTTCCTCCACCTCGCCACCAACCGCATGGGTCAGCCCAAGTCTTCAATTTCTTCAGGGCTTCGATTCAAAGAACACCGACAATGCTGTGCGGTGTAAAAGTTTTGCAAATGTCTTCTGGAGCGATATTGTGGGTTATGAAACGGCGAGATTTGGTGAGCAAGTTTGCATGGAGCAACCGAACACCACGCCATCCAACCGAGCAACAAGCTGGTTGATTGCACCATCCCTCCATCACACTGCGCTTTCCCTGTGTCAGTGTTTCCCAAGACTTGCGCGAGAGAATTAGACAAGGACGAGTTTGCACGAAATAAGATATGCGCGTTACGACTTGCCCTTTGGTAGCAGCTGGAGTCAACTTCTCCAGAAACGGCTTTAAAATTCTGTTGTGCTCAAGAGTCTCGATCTCCCGCGCTGCAGCGCGCACATGCAACAGCTCACGACTCGTGAAAGGCGCAAACAACAGAACAGTACACCGCGCGGATCACGCGGGCAAAGGCCGCGTGCGTGCAGGGCGTTCGGGCGACGGCAGCGCGTGCAGCGAACAAGCACACCGTGGCGGCTCGACAACGCGCGCGGTGCTATCGATGGGGCGTTACGGTTGCGCCGCGGCGATGAGGCGGCGGCGCGGCGGCGTCATGATGGCGGCGAGAGCGGCGGTGGTGGCGCTGGTGGTTGCGCGCTGCTGCAGCGCTGCTCCCGTGGTGGACGCCGAGAGTAAGCCTTATTGGACCAGTAATGCCACGGCGACAAGACCAGTGGAGACCGTGCGTCGTACTGGCACCCGTATTCAGCAGGACCGTCACGATAACCCTATCCAGCATGCAACATGAATTCCGCACCGGCGGCAACAGCCATCGTTGCTGATGGCTGTGCGTGCCCCTCCTGGCGTCCCCAAGTCAATCCCTCTACCCTCTCCTTGTTCCTTTCGCGACTCCCCTGGGAATGTTCCCAACACGTTCTGTGGCATGACATGCTGACTTGCGTTGGTATGGCATGGGCGGTATTGCATGGGTGCATGGCATAATGCTTGGCATGGGTGGTGTTGCATGGGTGCACGGCATGGGTGGATGGCATGGGTGCACGGCATTGGGTGGATGTCCTGGATGCATGGCAGTGGAAGCTTTGACGAATCTAGCACATGAATGGAATGATGTGCGGGATACAAGCTCATGGATGAGGGGCAAGGATTGCGACAGCATGGATCACGTGAAGTGCGATGATCATGGGCATGTCATTGCACTGTAAGCATGTCATTGCACTGTAAGCATGTCATTGCACTGTAAGCATGTCATTGCACTGTAAGCATGTCATTGCACTGTAAGCATGTCATTGCACTGTAAGCATGTCATTGCACTGTAAGCATGTCGTTGCACTGTAAGCATGTCATCGCATTATACACCCTGCCCCCTTGCACTCTCATTCCGTTTCCTTCACATCTAAGAATCCGGTATTTTATTCGAATTCAGTTCTCCCTCCCTCCATGCCATCCTTCTCCTCCCGCAGCTTCGTCATAAGGTGCGCCCTCGTCGGCCCCCTGCCCACTGCTCTCCTCGCATTGTCCCATCTCAAGGATCTGTGAGAATCCTATTTCACTCGCCCTTCCTCACTGGCCTCACGCGTTCGATTCCCCACTTTCCCCCACTGACTTGCCCTTTCTTGTGATGAATTGTCCTTCCTTACATCGACTTTTCCTCGCTTGGGCAGACTTGCACGTGACTGTCTTCCATTCGATTGACAAAACACAGCTAGCCCTGTCTTGCCTGCCGTCTCTTCAATCCTCTCATTTGATCTCTTCTCTTCTATTCACCCACATTGGCCCTCTCTTGTGCCTCTCCCGCTTACCTATAATTCTGGGCCCACCCCAATCTCCTTACTCTTTCCCTCACTGCCTGCAGGGAATTGGAGTATTGCAATCAACTCCCTCACTCGCTCCCCGATTCCCTAGGCGGACTGTCCTCTCCCATGGGCCTGTCAGTTCTACATTCTCCCATGCACCTCCATCTTTTCTCTGCCACGGGTCGTCACAGCACCGTGATCCACCTGTTTTCCATCGGCCAACCTCTGTTTTCTCGCCAATCTACCTGCATGTGCATGTCCAACTGCATGCCTACCGCGGACTCCCTTTCTCGGGTGCTTCAGATTCATTCCACTTCCTCCCCCATTCCCCTCTTGTCCCCTTTCTCCCCTCCCTGCCGTCTCCCCTCCCTGCTGTCTCCCCTCTCTGCATTCTCCCCTCCCTGCCCTCTCTCCCATGCCTGCCTGCCACGGCCCATCAATGCAGCAGCACCGCCTCTCACGGCAATCTCAAAGATTCCGTTCCGCAAGAGCTGGGCAATCTGCAGCAGCTCACCCGCCTGTCAGTGCGCTTGGGGGGGGGATGCAGTAGGTGCGGGGGGGAGTGAGTGGGTGCGTGAGTGGGTGAGAGGTAAGTGAATGAGCGAGGAGTGAATGAGTGCAAGTGGTTGAGCAAGATGAGGCTTACAGCGTTGTTCCTACCTCCCACGGACTCTGTGCTCACTCCAAGTCTGTCCATCTGGCCCCTCACACCCCATTGCCATGACCTCTGTGCTCCCACCTGCACTGTCTGCTGCTCCCCGCTCCATTTGATCTCCTGCCACTCGTTTCTCTCCTTCAGCCTCTGGTCAACAGCCTCTGGTCAACAGCCTCTGGTCAATAGTCCCTCTCCCCTGCAGCACCCTCCGGTGTCTCTAAACCCTCCACATCCGTGGTGCATGGATGTTGCATGGATGGTACATGATGGTGCATGCATGGTGCATGGATGGTGCATGCATGTGCAAGCAGGTATTTGTCGAGCAACAATCTACTGGAGTCACTACCAGAGCAGCTCTCCCAGCTGCACAACCTCCAGTCTCTGTAAGGCCGAGTGAGGGGCATGGGATGGCATGTGATGGCATGTGATGGCATGTGATGGCATGTGATGGCATGTGATGGAATGGGATGGCATGTGATGGCATGTGATGGCATGTGATGGCATGTGATGGCATGTGATGGCATGTGATGGAATGGGATGGCATGTGATGGCATGTGATGGCATGTGATGGCATGTGATGGCATGTGATGGCATGTGATGGCATGTGATGGCATGTGATGGCATGTGATGGCATGTGATGGCATGGAATGGCATGGGTTTGATGTGATGGCATGTGATGGCATGTGATGGCATGTGATGGCACCCTACTGGATGTGCGAAGCCTGAAGGGCTTGTGAAGTGTTGTGCATGACACTGCAGCATGAAAGGAGAATTCTCATGCTCCCACCTCTTGCCATGCTCTCTCACTTCTTTGGTTCTCGCTCTTCTTTTTCATCTTGCCCATCCTCGCACGCCTATTTGTGGGTTACTCATACCCCTTCTTCCTGCACTTTCCTGCTCCTTTCCTCTTGGCTGCTCTTCTCACGACTGCTCCTTCTCTCTGTGCTGTTTCCATCGTCAGGCACGTGTCGAATCATGATCATCTGTCTGGGGAGCTGCCTGCGTGGATCTTCAGCCTCACAGACTTGACTTCACTGTGCGTGCTGCCATGCACCATGCCATGCACCATGCCGTGCACAGCTTCCCGCTTGAGCATCCTTTTCCATAAAAAGCGTGCCCTTGTCACCCCTTACCTATCTTCTTTGCACATCATACCATTCCAGAAGTTGCATGTAAGAGTAAAACTCTACTGCTCCCAATGGCTTCTTCAACTCCCTTTTCATCTTCTTCACCCATACCTTTCCTTCCGGCCTTCCCTCATTAATAATTCCCCTCCCCTCTCTGCGCTTCCCTCCACCCTGTTTCCACCACCCCCAACCGTCTCAATGCATCAGGACTATCCAGCGCAACAACTTTTCAGGCTCCATTCCAGAGGCAATCAGCAGCCTCAAGCAGCTAAGGGAGTTGTGAGTGGTGATGGGGTAGGCATTTCAAGGCACATGCACTGCAAGAAGAATGCACTGCAGACACATGCACTGCAGACGCATGCACTGCAGACACATGCACTCCTGGTGCATGTGAGTCCATGCGTTATCAACTTTCGCACACCCAACTTCCACCGCTCCACTGCCACTGCTCCTCTCTGTGCCACACTTCACCGCACTGCGCTGCATGTGATCGCAGAGTCCTCGAGGAGGGAGAGCTGTCAGGGTCCATCCCCGAGGCAATAGGAGCGCTCACCAACCTGCACAATCTGTACGGAAGTGGGATGTGCATCGTTAAAAGGGGATGTGAATAGGATGGAGATAGTTTTCTGTTTTTTTTTTTTTTTTTTTTTTTTTTTTTTTTTTTTTTTTTTTTTTTTTTTTTTTTCCCTTTCCTTTGGAGCTTCTCCAATGGCGTGCCTCGTGTGCCTCCACTACTGCTGGGTGCTTTGGATGCACTGCATGCAACATATCCACCACTGTGACGAGCAGCCATCCCATGCCATCCCATGCCATGCCATGCCATTCGGTTCCATGCCATCCCATGCCATGCCATGCCATTCGGTTCCATGTCATGCCATGCCATGCCTTTCTATGCCATCCCATGCCCTCATTGCCACCACACGGCAGGCAATTGCACTGCAACAGGCTGAGTGGCACCATTCCCGCCTTCATTACCTACCTCTCTGGACTCACCACCCTGTGCGCCCATTCTCTCTCCATCCCCCTCTCTCCCATTCTCTCTCCATCCCCCTCTCTCCCATTCTCTCTCCATCCCCCTCTCTCCCATTCTCTCTCCATCCCCCTCTCTCCCATTCTCTATCCATCCCCCTCTCTCCCATTCTCTCTCCATCCCCCTCTCTCCCATTCTCTCTCCATCCCCCTCTCTCTCTCCCATTCTCTCTCCATCCCCCTCTCCCCATTCTCTCTCCATCCCCCTCTCCCATTCTCTCTCCATCCCCCTCTCTCCCATTCTCTCTCCATCCCCCTCTCTCCCATTCTCTCTCCATCCCCCTCTCTCCCATTCTCTCTCCATCCCCCTCTCTCCCTTTCTCTCTCCATCCCCCTCTCTCCCATTCTCTTTCCATCCCCCTCTCTCCCATTCTCTCTCCACCCCGCTCTCTTCCATTCTACCTACGCCCTTAGCTTGTCTTCTCTGCATTATTAGCAGGAATTTACCATAACAGTACAAAACATTAAATGCTTTGCAGTCAGCTGTGTAGGTCGTCCACTTCAGCGTTCTGCCTACCACTCACTCCCGCTGATCATCCTTTCTTTCCACCTTCCTGCATTCAGTGGCTCTTCTTCCTCTCTCCCTCGCCTCTCTTCCCCTCTCCACCTTCCCCTCTCCGCCCATCTTCTCACCTTCCTCCCCCTCTCCGCCCTCTGCTCACCCTCTTCATGCTCCAGGAAACTTCGGAGCAACAGCAGTCTCTCAGGCTCCATTCCAGAGGCAATCAGCAGCCTCAAGCAGCTAAGGGAGTTGTGAGTGGTGATGGGGAGTTGTAGCTCATGTTGCCGCTTGTGCGACCCATCCTGTCCCATCCCATCCCCATTCCATCCCATCCCATCCCATCCCATCCCATCCCATCCCATCCCATCCCATCCCATCCCCATCCCATCCCAACCCATCCCATCCCATCCCATCCCATCCCATCCCAACCCATCCCATCCCATCTCCACCCCATCCCATCCCATCCCATCCCATCCCAACCCATCCCATCCCATCCCCATCCCATCCCATCCCATCCCATCCCGTCCCGTCCCGTCCCATCCCATCCCATCTCATCCCATCCCATCCCATCCCATCCCATCCCATCCCATCCCATCCCATCCCATCCCATCTCATCCCGTTCCATCCCGTCCCATCAAATCCCATCCCATCCCATCCCCATCCCATTCCAACCCATCCCATCCCATCCCCATCCCATTCCAACCCATCCCATCCCATCCCATTCCCATCCCGTGCCATACAATACCATCCCAATCCATCTTTGCCATCCCTTCCCATCCAATTTCATCCCATCCCATCTCTCTCCCTGCCCTCTTCCCTACTGCTCTTTCTCCCATTCTCCTCCACCCTTCATCTCCTGTATCTCCTTTATAAGCATAAAGTTACCATAACGGCATTTAAACTTCTCTTCAGCTATAAAAGAATGACACCATCATTTTACACAAGAATGCCTCGGATTAATAAAACAGCACTGCTTATTTCCATCCATCCGCCACTTCAGCTTTCCCCTTCCATTCTCTAATTCATGATTGCACTTCCTGCCTTTTACCTCCAGTGCCTCCCCTTCCCCTTGCCACCCTTCCCCTCTCCGCCTTCCCCCATCCGCCTTCCCCCATCCGCCACCTTCCTCCCACCTTCAGAAGCCTCTTTGACAACGGTCTCTCGGGCTCCATTCCGGACGCAATCAGCACCCTGCAGCTGCTGCAGGAGTTGTGAGTGGTGATGGGGCAGGCATGCAAGGTGCTGTGGGGTGATCAGGTGTGGAGCCTGATAGGTCCACCTCAGTGAGCAAGAGAGAGGGAGAGTGAGAAGCGGAAAGAGGGCGGGCAAGTCATTGATGTGTACGTGAAAGTTTGAGTGGGTGAGTGGGTGAGGGGATGAGAGAGTGAGTGACTCAATCACAGAATTCCATCCCTTCACATCACATCCCATCCAATCACGTCCATGCCCTCAAATTTCAGCATTTGTACGCAGGTTCAGCCTTTTTTTTTTCGGTGCCAGGGCAGATATATCAACTGTTTACGCAATTTTCTAATGGAAGATGGCATTTTTTGCTAAATTCCAGTGTAAATCTGTATGAGAACTCTGTTTTTCCTCCTGCTCCAAAACCGGGCCTGATCCCATCAAAGTCCATCCCATCCCATTCCATCCCATCCCATCCCATCCCATGCCATGCCATGCCATGCCATGCCATGGCAGGGACCTCCACTGCAACAGCCTGAGTGGCACCATTCCAGCCTGCATCACCCACCTCACCGCACTCACCAGCCTGTGCGCCCATTCTCCCTCCACCCCCCCCTTCCTCTCTCCGCTCTCCATGCCTTCTTTCCGCCTGCCTCTCTCTGCCAAGCATTGGGGGTTTGAGAGTGTGGGTAGGACGAGGATCGGAATCAGAGGGAGGGAACGGGACTGAGGGGATTCGAACGCAATGAATGGGAGAGTAGGGAGGCACTTTTTGTTGACTTGAATCCCGTCTAATTTGCATGTGTGTGTTCCTCAAGGCACAAACCCTTCAGCAACAGCACTCATACTTTTCCAAGGCACCATATTTGCTTTCTTATCCTCCACACCTCCTCACTTCTCCTCCACTTCTCCTCTCTTCCTCTCCTCTTCTCCTCCTCTCCCCCTCTCCTCCTCCCCTCTTCTCCTCTTATCCTCGTCCCAACTTTCCCCCTTCGTCTCTTCTCCTCGTCACCCCTTCCCCCCTTCGTCTCTCCTTCCCTTCATGTCCATTCATCCACCTGTCGTCAGGATGATCAACGCCAATCACCTTGCAGGGACGATACCTGCTGCAATCACCACGCTCACTAATCTCGAAATCCTGTCAGTGTTACCGCCTCGGTCGTCCCATCCCAACACCCAAGTGTGATCCTTGAATGGTGGAGTCTTTAACTAGTCTTAAAAGCAACCTGGTAGTGTTGCCTGCCAAGTCGACTCATAACGCATGTCTGTCGAGTCACCAACTGAACCCATCCCTTCTTTTCTGTGAAACGCCACCCTTAGTGCTCGCTTTAGCTTGTTTCCTGCCACCCGTGCGTCTCCTCCGTTCTGCTTGCCGCATCGTGAAGTGTGTCAGCCTCATCCTGAATGCTATCCATTCCTTCCCTCCCCTCCTCAGTCCACAATAATTCCTGTAGAGCCATGTCTTACTGATACTTGAAAATGCCGACTATCTATACAGCGTTGGCAGATGAAAATTGGATTCGACGACTCAAGATTCAACAGCTCAAAATCCTACTACTGTCTCATCACTCCCTTTTTCCTTCAGTCCCTCTTTCCATACACTCCCATTCCCAACCTCTGCACTCCCACCTCTTCCCCTCCCCACCTGCCCTTGGCATCACAGCCACCTTGAGAACAACCAGCTTACGGGAGAGCTGCCCTCCTTCCTCCACATAGCCCGCCTCACTTCGCAAAACGGACTGTCTGCAGACCACAACTACTTCACATCCACAGCAGACCCTCTCCCTTTCAACGCTACCAGCCTAGACAGCCCTTCAGAATCTCACAGCCTGTGTCTGTTCGACCACAACTGCCTTGAAAACGACGCAATCTCCTGCGCTAGTTGGCAGAACCAGAGGTATGGCAGCGAGTGCCGGGCGTTCTGCGGGGCGCAGCCACTCACCCCGCCGTGCAGCGGCCATGGCGTGTGCTCCCTTGTGCCTGACCCCTCGTACGACCTGTCTGCCTGTGAGGATGAGCATGAGCTGCCGCCACCCTACTGTGCACGTGAACCTGAGGGCCAGTGCGACTGTGATGAGGGGTACACGCCAGGGACTGCTGCTGGCACGTGCGTCCCTCATGGTATGCCGTCTGCTGCCTCAAGTTGTCCCGGCTGCTAAAATCTGCCTCAAGTTGTAGGCTCCTGCTTTCTTCTTCTGTTACTTTTCAGCCAAAAGCTCGCCCAAGCTGGATCTTGTCTTTCCAAGCCTGCTTGCCAGCATGCCTGCTTGCAAATATGCAAACATGCCTGCAGGCAAACATGCTTGCTTGCAAACATGCCTGCATGCAAACATGCTTGCTTGCAAACATGCCTGCTTGCAAACATGCATGCTTGCTGGCATCCCTTCTTGCTTTCCACCAAATATGCTGATTTTACACACGCATCACCTTTTCCCACACATCCTTCCTCTCCGTATCCACCCTGCATGCACCAACCCACCCTCTGAACCACCAGGCATTGCAGCCGTGGGGGTGACTCTGTCTGCTCTCCAGGCGCCCCAAAACCTGCTGCTGCTGCTGCTGCTTCCACTGGCGGTGCTGCTGCTGCTGGCCTTCAAACTGCCGCAGTTGCTGAGGCGCCTCAAGAATCGACCCCCCACACGCTACTTCTTTTCAAAGAGAGCCCTTGCTGCCCGGCAAGCTGCCATGGGTGTGGAGATCAATTGCTAGTGCAGTACTACCACGACAAAATGTTTCTCTTTTTATCTTCCAAGAATTTACTGCCACCCAGAAATGACTACCTTTTGCTAGGTTACAATTGTCAAGATAGTAAGGACAGTGAGAAGCCATAGCTAGGGTTGACCTAGCTAGGCAAGCAAGAAATGAACAAAGGAGGGCTTACACTAGCAAGAATGGGGATACAAATAGCAAACCCTAGAAGGGTTGTACTCGCTATAGAGCACCCCACTACAGGCTAGAGCATAATATTCTGACACACCCCCATAGCCAAAGTGGGGTGTAATCAACAGAGCAAGCAAAACAGTACAAGCTCAGGGTGGATCACAATGTCACCACACATTCTGAGCACAAGTTCAAGAAGCAATAGTTTAAAGTTCACAATTATGAGCAAAGCCAGTGGTAGTCACAACGGGCAAGTGAGGAGGAGGAAAGAGACTATGAGAGGAGAGGAGGTAGTGGGCGGCAGCTGAAGCTGCTGGCACACGGCGCAACTGGAGCAACTGGCACACGGGCAACTGGAGCAACTGGCACACTGGCAACTGGAGCAACTGGCACACGGGCTACTGGAGTAACTGGCTCCGCGGCTGAAAGTAGCGGCAGACGAGCAACGGACTCACGGGCGACTGGAGCAACGGGCTCACGGGCGACTGGCGCAACGGGCTCACGGGCGACTGGCGCAACGGTCTCACGGGCGACTGGAGCTGCTGGCTTCACGGCGGCCACCCCCTTCAACCTCCCCAAACTATCCCACTCCCCCTGACACACACCCGCTGCTACACCGCTAGCTCCACTCCCCCTTCACCCCCCCCTTATGTTAAACATATATGCTGCATATTGTCTAGGCTGTAGTGGGGTAGCCCATATGGGGTACAGCCCAATTAGGGTTTACTACTTGTATTCCTGCTGCTAGATTCTAACATGGTTTCAGAGCACTAAGGTCCGTAGGACCGTTTTTTTTTCGGGCCCACCTACCGCTGCGGTTACCGCGCTACCCCACGTACCTGCCTGCCTTGCCTTGCCTTGTGACGTGCTGCACTATGTGCGCCGTCCAGCAGCCCTAGCGCTGCCTCCTGCTGCCCTAGGCCAGCGCGCTGCCCCTAGAGGCCCGTAAGGCCCACGCGCCGCCCCTAGAGGCCCGTAAGGCCCGCGCAGCCTGCTGCAGCCGCGCGCAGCCCGCACAGAGCCCGCGCAGCCCGCGCCGAGCCGCGCGCAGCCCGCTGCAGCCGCGCGCAGCCCGCACAGAGCCCACGCAGCCCGCGCCGAGCCGCGCACAGCCCGCTGCAGCCGCGCGCAGCCCGCACCGAGCCGCGCACAGCCCGCTGCAGCCGCGCGCAGCCCGCAGCTGCCGCGCGCAGCCCGCGCCGAGCCCACGCAGCCCGCGTCGAGCCGCGCGCGGCCTGCTACGGCCTCGCGAGGCCCGCGCGCGGCCCGCAGCAGCCCGCGCCGAGCCGCGCGCGGCCTGCTACTGCCTCGCGCGGCCCGCGCGCGGCCCGCAACAGCCCGCGCCGAGCCGCGCGCGGCCCGCTACTGCCTAGCGCGGCCGCGCGCGGCCTGCAGCAGCTCAGCGCGCTGTCAGCGCAGCCCGCGCCGAGCCGCGCGCGGCCCTCTGCCTCGGCCACGACCTGCCGCTGATGCGGCCCCGCTCTGCAGCTGCCACGGCCCCGACCTGCCGCTGATGCGGCCCCGCTCTGCAGCTGCCACGGCCCCGACCTGCCGCTGACGCGGCCCCACCCTGCTACTGCCGCTGAAGCGGCCCCGCCCTGCAGCTGCTTCGGCCCTGCTCTGCAGCCGGTTTTGCGGCCCCGACGCCGCCGCTGTCGTGCGCCTACTCGGCCGCCGCCCGTCGAGCGCCGGCCCTGCTCGCCCGGTGAGCGCCTGCTCTCCCAGCCTTTGGTGAGCGCCTGCCTGCCTGCCTGCCTGCCTGCCTGCCGGCCTGGCTGCCTGCCTGCCGGCCTGCCTGCCTGCGCGACTGCCTGCCTGCCTGCCGGCCTGCCTGCCTGCCTGCCGGCCTGCCTGTCTGTCTGCTTGCCTGCCTGCCTGCCTGCCTGCCTGCCTGCCTGCCTGCCTGCCTGCCTGCCTGCCTGCCTGCCTGCCTGCCTGCCTGCCTGCCTGCCTGCCTGCCTGCCTGCCTGCCTGCCTGCCTGCCGGCCTGCCTGCCTGCCTGCCTGTCTGCTTGCCTGCCTGCCTGCCGCGCCTGCCTTGCCCGCGCTACTGCTGCTGCTACTGCTACTGGCAGGTGGCCAGATGCAGCTCCAGCGACGTTCACGCGAGCCTCTGACGCCCCAGCAGCTTAGTGAGTGGTATACTAGCTGGGGTTGTCGCAGTAGCCGTCGTAGCTGTCGCCCTGGAGCTGGTCAGTTGGGAGCGTCTGGCAGTGGCCAGCTACAGCTGCAGGGGCGTCCACGTGAGACACTTACGCCCCGGCAGCTCCAGGAGTGGTACGCTCAGTGTAGCAGGTCTACGCGTACAGTTCGCTGCCCGTACGTCATTCGCACAAGTGATAGGACTGGTCAGCCTTGTGGGACGCTTGGTCACACACAGTCCCGCTGCTTCGCTCGTCTGAGCGACGACTGGCGCACAGTGTTTGGCGACGAGGCTGAGCTCCCCACCTGGCTGGAGCTGCATGGACAGAGGGTAGATATCTTTGCGCTTGACTATGATGCTATTCTCACTGCCATGTATGCATTGCCTACTAGTGCTGATCGTGCCTGTTATCTGTGCGTACCGCCTGACCCTGGTGAGGCTGCTGCTCTAGGTGCTAGTGCGTCTCCTGCTCTAGGTGCTGGTGAGGCTGCTGCTCTCGGTGCTAGTACGTCTACTGCTCTAGGTACTGGTGAGGCCGTGGCTTCAGGTGCTGGTGAGTCTGCTCTCTCTGGTACTGCGCCAACTACGGTCTCGCACACCTTCACCCTTGACTCAGGAGCTTCTCGCTCCTTCTTTCGCGACTGCACCACACTCACGCCGCTTAGTCGGCCAGTTCCAGTCTCCCTGGCGGACCCCTCCGGGGGTCCAGTCCTTGCCCACTACTCCACAGTTCTGCCGTGTCCGGCCGTCCCGTCCGGCTCGCTGTCAGGTCTTTACCTCCCCTCGTTCTCTACGAACTTGGTGAGTGGAGCTGACCTCCAGGATCGGGAGGTTGACCAGTTCACTCCTGCGAGTCAGCGAGTGACTCACTGTACGTGTGCTAGGACGGGCCGGCACTTGGCCACGTTCACCCGTGCACCTGGCTCGAGTCTGTACACACTCACCACTGAGTCCCCTCAGGTAGCTGCGTCTGCGTCTACGTCTGGTCAGCTGGCGGCCCCCTGCGAGTGTCGCGCTTTGTCGCACGACACTCTCCTGTGGCACCACCGTCTTGGTCACCCCTCCTTGCCTCGCCTGCGTAGCATGCACTCTCGCTCCCTGGTCTCTGGTCTTCCCAGGTCTCTGCCTGCCCTCCCTCCCTCGCCTGCGCCGCCCTGCATTCCTTGCGTCGAGGGGCGGCAGCGCGCCGCTCCTCACTCCTCCTCGTTTCCTCCCACAGAGGCTCCCCTGCAGACGCTCCACCTGGACGTGTGGGGCCCAGCCCGCGTCCAGGGACAGGGCCGCGAGCGGTACTTCCTGCTGGTCGTCGACGACTACACGCGTTACACCACGGTCTTCCCCTTGCAGAGCAAGGGGGACGTCCCTGATGTTTTGATCCCTTGGATCCGCGCTGTTCGTCTCCAGCTCCGCGAGCGGTTCCGGCGGGATTTTCCTGTCCTGCGTCTGCACTCTGACAGAGGTGGTGAGTTCTCCTCTGACCTCTTGGCAGCCTACTGTGCGGAGCACGGCATCACCCAGTCGTTCACGCTTCCGGCCTCTCCACAGCAGAATGGGGTTGCTGAGCGTCGCATTGGCTTAGTCATGGAGGTCGCTCGTACCTCCATGATCCATGCGGCTGCCCCCCATTTCCTGTGGCCGTTTGCGGTCCGGTACGCCGCGCATCAGCTCAACCTCTGGCCCCGTGTCTTCTTGCCGGAGACCTCGCCCACACTGCTGTGGACGGGGAAGGTTGGTGATGCGTCGCGTTTCCGGGTCTGGGGTGCTCGTGCCTTTGTCCGCGATACCACCGCGGACAAGCTCTCCGCCCGCGCTGTTCCCTGTGTCTTCCTTGGCTTTGTCCCTGACGCGTCTGGTTGGCAGTTTTACCACCCCACCTCACGCCGTGTCTTTGCGTCTCAGGACGTCACGTTCGACGAGTCGGTTCCCTTTTACCGTCTCTTCCCCTACCGCACTGCCCCGCTCCCCCCCCCGCCGCTCTTCCTCGCTCCAGGTGCTCCCCAGGTAGACCCCCTCCCCACTCCTGGTCCTGCTCCTTCAGGTGTTTCTCAGGTAGACCCTCCTCCCTTGACTGCGCCGGTTGAGGTCACTGGTGACTCAGGTCCTACTGAGGGTGGTCCTTCTCGGGGTGCTACTTCTAGGGGTGCTGAGCCTGGGGGTGCGGAGCCTGGGGGTGCTGAGCCTGGGGGTGCTGAGCCTGAGGGTGCGGAGCTTGAGGGTGTGGAGCCTGGTGGTGCTGAGCCTGAGTGTGAGGGGTCTGGGGGTGCTGAGCTTGGCGGTACTGACGCTGGAGGTTCTGGAGCTACTGAGGGTGCTGGCGCTGGAGGTTCTGGAGCCGCTGGAGGTACAGGTGCTGAGGGTACTGACACCGGAGGTTCTGGAGCCGTTGGGGGTGCGGGCGCTGAGGGTTCTGAGTCTGCTGTTGCGCGGTCTCCTTGGAGTAGCCGCCTTCGTCCACGTGTGCCTCTCACCCCACAGCAGCTGCAGGACTGGTACGGTCGCCGTCAGCGTCGCGCTGCTGGAGCTAGGAGTGGTGCTGGACCTTTGTCTACTGGAGGTGCTGGAGTCGCTGGTTCTGGAGGTGCTCGTACTGGAGACACTGAGGCTGGAGACCCTGGGACTGGAGGTGCTGGTTCTGGGGGTGCTGCTGCTGGAGACACAGAGGGTGGAGACCCTGGGACTGGAGGTGCTGGTTCTGGGGGTGCTGCTGCTGGAGACACAGAGGGTGGAGACCCTGGGACTGGAGGTGCTGGTTCTGGGGGTGCTGCTGCTGGAGACACTGAGGCTGGAGACCCTGGGACTGGAGGTGCTGGTTCTGGGGGTGCCGCTGCTGGAGACACAGAGGTTGGAGACCCTGGGGCTGGAGGTGTCGGCTCTGGGACTGGAGCTTCTGGAGCTGCTGGAGGTACTGGAGCTGCTGGAGGCACTGGAGCTGCTGGAGCTGCCGCTCCTGGTGCAGCTGCGCCGACACGACGGTTCTTCGCTCCGCCGTCTCCGTCGTCTCTGCCGCCGTCTGACTCTGTTCTTCGTCAGGTTCTTACTCTCCCGTCGTCTACTGGTCTTCCGTTACAGCCTGGCTCACCGCTGCCTGCTCCTTCTCCTTACACTGTGCAGACTGGTAGTCCTGCTGAGCGTCGTGAGCCTGCGTCGCGTCCTGTTTCGCCTGTTCGTCCTAGTCGTACCGGTCGTCGTGTTCCTCGTTCGCGTCAGCCGGCTGTCCCCAGCGCACACCTCGTAGTCCGTCGTCCTTCCTCTACTCCGCAGCCTGTTCCTCTGCCGTCTCCTCCTGCGTCCTCTTTGCCTGACGTTCCGGACCCTGCGTCTGACCGGTTTCGTGCTGAGCACCCTATTGTCACGCGTCTACTAGCCACAGTTGTCACTGACCCGTCGTTTGAGTCTGCTGCTGCGTCTGCTCTTGTCGCTGAGCTTGTTGACTTTGCTGCTGCCTTTCGTCTAGACTTCACTGCCAGTCTTGTTACTGAGTCTGAGTCTGTCTGTCCTCCGTCCGTCGGGGGTGAGTGTGCTCTTAGCACGGACGTCCTTGAGGACAGGCAGGAGGAGTTCCAGTGTCTTGCTGCTGCTTTACCTCATCTTGTGTCCTCGCTACTTGCCCCTGAGGGAGACCCGGATGCACCAGACATCCCGACTCCGCGCTCTTACGCAGAGGCGATAGAGGGTCCCTACTCCTCTCAGTGGCAGGCAGCCATGGACGCAGAGATGGCTTCCTGGAAGTCCACAGGCACCTATGTCGACGAGGTTCCCCCACCTGGGGCGAACATCGTCAGTGGCATGTGGATTTTCAGGGTGAAGCGGCCGCCGGGTTCTCCGCCTGTCTTCAAGGCGCGTTACGTGGCTCGAGGCTTCAGTCAGCGAGAGGGAGTAGACTTCTTCCAGACCTTCTCCCCCACCCCGAAGATGACCACTCTTCGGGTGCTGCTGCATGTTGCTGCTCACCGTGACTACGAGCTTCACTCTCTTGACTTCAGCACAGCTTTCTTACAGGGCAGCCTGCACGAGGAGATCTGGCTGCGCCGCCCTCCTGGCTTCACTGGGTCGTTCCCTCCTGGCACCCAGTGGAGCCTCCGGCGGCCGGTCTACGGTCTCCGCCAGGCGCCACGTGAGTGGCACGACACACTGAGGACTACGCTTGCGGCTCTTGGGTTTGCGCCTTCTACTGCTGACCCGTCGCTGTTTCTGCGCACCGACACTTCACTGCCGCCGTTCTACATCCTCGTGTACGTCGACGACTTGGTTTTTGCCACTGCTGACACTGAGGCTCTCGCCCACGTGAAGTCGGAGCTGCAGAAGAGACACACGTGCACAGACTTGGGTGAGCTGCGCAGCTACCTTGGCTTGCAGATCACCCGGGACAGAGCACGCCGCACCATCACCTTGACTCAGTCACACATGGTGCAGCAGGTCCTTCAGCGCTTCGGCTTCACCTGGTCTTCAGCACAGGCCACTCCTCTGGCTACAGGTCACACGCTCTCAGCTCCACCTTCGGACGAGTCCGTAGAGCCGAGTGGTCCTTACCCAGAGCTAGTCGGCTGCCTCATGTACCTGATGACTTGCACTCGACCTGACCTCGCGTACCCTCTTGGTCTTCTGGCTCGCTACGTGGCTCCTGGTCGGCACCGACCTGAGCACATGGCTGCTGCTAAGAGGGTACTGCGCTACTTGTGCAGCACATCAGGCATGGGGCTAGTGCTTGGAGGGACGAGCCCAGCTGTCCTCACTGGGCACTCAGACGCTTCTTGGGTTGACGACCAGGCTACTCAGCGGTCGTCACAGGGTTACACCTTCAGCCTTGGCTCTGGTTCAGTTTCGTGGCGTTCTACACGCTCGTCTTCAGTTCTCAGTTCCAGTTGTGAGGCTGAGATCTACGCCACAGCCATGGCTGCACAGGAGTTACGCTGGCTCACCTACCTGCTGACTGACTTGGGAGAGCAGCCTCGTTCTCCTCCAGTACTGTACGTCGACAACAAGGCCGCCATTGCCTTGTGTGAGGAGCACAGACTGGAGCACAGAACGAAGCACATTGCTCTGCGTTACTTCCTGGCTCGAGAGTTGCAGCAGTGAGGCCAGCTTCGTCTTCGTCACGTGGCCACTCGGGCCAACACTGCTGATATATTCACCAAGGCACTTTCGTCTGGTGATCATCAGCGCTTTTGTACCCTGTTAGGCCTTGTGCCTACGTTTCCACACTTGCTGTAGTCTCTGCTTGTACTGTGATCTATATATATACATGCATGCCTGCTCTTGCTAGGTAGTCATCACTGTACTGTTATTGTTGCATATATATCTCTGCTTGTGGACTGGCCTTGTGGCCCTTTGCTTGTGCTCAGAATGTGTGGTGACGTTGAGATCCACCCTGAGCTTGCTTTGCTTCTCTTGACTGGTCGTTTGACCCCTTGTTCTCCCCCACTTTGCCTATGGGGGTGTGTCAAACATATATGCTGCATATTGTCTAGGCTGTAGTGGGGTAGCCCATATGGGGTACAGCCCAATTAGGGTTTACTACTTGTATTCTTGCTGCTAGATTCTAACACCTTAGTACCACTCCGATGGCTCCAACAGGTCCACCCCCCTCAGCGGCAGCTGCAGCACAGGGAGACGGAGGAGGAGGAGGAGCAGGGAACGGCACACAGAAGCTGCACCCCCATACCCCCCACCCCCAAACCCTAATCCAGGAGTACGGGCAGAAGGAGGGGTGGGGCGCCTTCAGAAGCACGGGGGACAGCGGGGAGGACAGGGGCAGCGAAGAACGGGCCGCCCACGGGTCTGGCACAGCCTCCCGAACCGCGCGCAGGCGGCCCGAGCCGCGCGCGGGCCTGGCGCAGCCCGTACGGGCCGCGCGCCGGCTGTACGGGCCGCGCGCAGGCCACGACGGGCGACGGGGGGCGACGCGCGGGTCCCCGTCGCCCGTCGCAGCGCCTCCCGGGAGCAACGCGCGGTGTGACGGGGCAGAAACCCGCCGCGCGCGGCGGACAGGGAGTAGCAGTAGCAGCGGAAGCAGTGAAGTGGTGGGCCCACAGGACAGGAGCGTAACCGCTCTGATACCATGTCAAGATAGTAAGGACAGTGAGAAGCCATAGCTAGGGTTGACCTAGCTAGGCAAGCAAGAAATGAACAAAGGAGGGCTTACACTAGCAAGAATGGGGATACAAATAGCAAACCCTAGAAGGGTTGTACTCGCTATAGAGCACCCCACTACAGGCTAGAGCATAATATTCTGACAACAATGCCATGCAATGCGAGCCTGAGTCTAAAACAAATCTGAGGGCCTGCTGGATGTCCAATCTTGGTTGCCTTCTACAATACCATAGTATCATCAGATGCCATTGTCATCCTTATTGAAATAGAAGCGAACTTGATATATTCACCTCCTTCGTTAAAATCGTTGTTAGTGATGATTCTGCTGCTATCAACTCGATGTATTCTTATATGGTCTAGGAACTGTACCTAACAGGATAGGCGTACATCCTAGTTGATAGCATATTCCAGCTCATTATTTCTGGTGAGTTCAAGCCAAAACTCCCTCAGCGAACTTGCACTTTAACGCGGATGTTTCCTGCATTGAGAACCCCGAGTGGGGCATGGCCGACACGAAGCTTGCTGTGAGCGCAACTGCAAACGAGGGGATTTGCGCCTATTGTGCAATTTGAGATCGTGCTATTGGTTGCGATGCGATGCGACGAACCCAAACTTTCAAGCTCGGCTAGAGTGCCAATTAATTGTGAAAACGGTGCTTGCAAGAGTCGATCCCAGCGTGCTAATTAGGTCCTCGTACCCGCTCTTGGTTCTTTCACTCGTTTTGCTGCAATCCGTGATGGCTGGCCTTTTGCGCCCGCACGGTGCGTGCGTTCCGCTTTTCCTTCCCCGGTACCCCACCCCCACCTTGAGAGATTCTGTCAGCGTTCAGGTAGCCACTCGAGTGACACGTGTCGTTCATCGAGCAGCTCGGATCGACGGTGCAAAAGGTCCCGAAGGCAGCAGCGAAGTAGGGGGCTACCAGACACAGCATGTAGCCGGCTCAAGCGCAGGCGGGAAGAAACCTAGAATTGGTGACGCGGGATTGGCGGGCAGAGGAGGCAGGGATGCAGCAGCCGCAGCAGCATCATCCGCAGCTGACAATGGTGAAGCAGCGCGCCGAGCAGAGTCGTTGCGAGAGGGTGGGGTTTCAGAACTGGCTCAACCAAGTGAAGAGCAGAGCAGATCGGAAGATCGAGGAGGTAGGTAGCTACTAACAGCTCACCAGCACTGCCGCTGCATGCCCACGCATCCCTTCTCTCCTCCCTTTCGCCGTCCTCTTGCTGTACACCGCGCCCTCGTTGTTGTCACCCTCCTCGTTCTTCTCCCTTTTCCCACTCCCAACAGCATCTGAACGGGCGGAGCGAGGCAGCACAACCGCGAGAGGCAAACCCCCTTCGAAAAAACCACCAGAAAAGCCGCTCACCAGCAGGGGCGGCGGCGGCCATGCTCGCGGGAGCACAGGCGGAGGCGGTGGCGGCACAGGGCGCGAGGGCAGGGGGAAGAAGGGCAAGGCGCGGATCGACCCGGTGGGGATCGTGGCGAGCGACCCGTCGCTGAAGGCGTTTGAGGGCGAGCTGCGCACGCGGTACAAGCGACTCAAGGACCTGCGGCAGTTCATCGAAGAAGAGGACGAGGACCTGCTCGAACTCGCCAACGCGTGCGTCAGTCAAGAACGCTGGCGCACACCTGGAACTGCTTTGCCCTATAACACTGCTTCAACTGCTTTGGCGCCTACTGCTGTGCCGCTAATGTTCTCGAGCTCTCTCCCTCCCTGTGCCGGCCTCGTCCCTCTCGCCTCCTGTTTTCGCCCTTCCTTACCTGCTGCCACATGTTGACTTGGCTTTGTTTCTTGCTGTGTCCTTTTCTGCGCCCGTACGTACACTACTGCTGCTGCTGTTCTCCCCTGGTGATGTGCAGGCACAAGATGATGGGGCTGCACCGCCACCCGTGGCACTGCATCGAGCTCTATGAATGGGCGCCAGGTGCCATGCCATGCCATGCCATGCCATTCCATGCCATGCTATGCCATGCCATGCCATGCCATGCCATGCCATGCCATGCCACCAAGCCATGTGTCATTGTCACCGCACTATGCTATGTCATGCCATCTCATGCCATCATGCTGCTCAGGAAAATTCATTGCCACTTCTCTCAGGCCTCATCACCCATGCGCCCCCTTGTTCTACTAAACCCACTATGGTGCCTATACCTAAACCCCTTATCTTTAAACCCCCGTCATACTGCTGTTTCCCCTCAAGCCCCCCAACCCCTCCCCCTCCCCCACTCCGCTCCTCCCTCCCCCCCTCACCCCCCCCCCGGTTCCCCATCTCTTCCCCACCCACACAACAGGCGCAACCCGCTGTGCCCTAGTAGGCTCATTCAACAACTGGGACGGCACGGAAGCCATGTCAGAAAAGGGCCCAGCAGGCTGCGACGAGCTGGGCGTGCACCGCGTGGTGCTGCAGGACCGCCTGCGCGCCGGCCAGCAGCCCGACCCGTTCGGGCAGGAGTATAACTATGATGTGGAAACGGATAGTGGCGATAGGGACCTGGACTGGGAGGGGCTGTATAGGGCCGCCCAGGAGGGGTACTGGGAGGAGGGCGAGGATCATCTGATGCATGAATATGTGGATCCGGATTTGGAGGAGGAGGAGGAGGAGGAGGAGGAGGTGGGGTGGAGGGAGTGTGGATGAGGGATTAGAGGAGGGGGAGGAAGGGGGGTTGAGAGGGGGTTTGGGTGGTGGTGGTGGTGATGATGGTGGTGGTGGGGGGGAGGGGGGAGGGGAGAGGGGTAAACAGCATGTGCGGGGCAAGGAATGGGTTGAGAAGGTGAGGGCGGCAGGGGCGTACAAGGGGTGGGTGAACGGGCCGATGCACTTAAGTGAAGCACAGCAGCAGGAGCAGGACGGGCAGACAGCTCAAAACCCCACTCGCAGGCAGCAGGCAAAGGCATCCGGCGCAGGCAGCAGCAAATCCGGCAAGTCAGGCAAGCTACCGCCCATAGCAGTGCCGTACGCAGGCAGTGAGGGCGTGGGAGTGGGCGACTGGGAGCTGTTTAAAGACCCCGCATGGGCAGCCTACGTGGAGAACAAACAGTTGCCGTACCCGTACTGGCTGGCGGAGAGGAAGGGGCGTGCAGCGTGGGCGCGGAAGTATGAAGCGGCTGTGAGGCATGGGGACAGGTGGCGGGTGCAGCTGAGCACAGCTCAAGGCGTGCTGCAACGCGTGTCTGCTTGGGCCACGTTTGTTGCTCCAGGTGGGGTGGGGGTTGGATGTGGGGGGCTGTTGTGGGTGGGTGGGTGAATGGGGTGTAGTTAGAGAGTCAGGGCTGTGTGGTGCGTGGCAGCAGGTGTGATGTGATGCTACTGGGTGCTCTCCTCATACGCTGGATCGCCATGTGTGATGTCCCAATCGCTTGGTTCAGAATCCAGATGAGTGTTTCTTTCGCATCATACTTATTGCATCATGTGCTCATCATGTTCTCATCACGTGCTCATCACGTGCTCATCACGTGCTCATCATGTGCTCATCATGTGCTCATCACGTGCTCATCATGTGCTCATCACGTGCTCATCATGTGCTCATCATGTGCTCATCATGTGTGTCCTTGCCTCCATCGCTGTGCAGAGGACAGGGAGGGGCGGAGGTGGAGTGGGGTGGTGTGGGACCCACCTCTGGGCGAGCGGCACAAGTGGCAGCACACAGCTCCCCCCCGGCCCCGCACCCTGCGCGTGTACGAGGCACACGTGGGCAGCAGCGGGGGCAAGGCAGGGAGAGGGCGTGGTACAGGCGAGGAGGAGAGGGACGGGGTGTGGGCGAATGGGGAAGGGGAGGGGAAGGTTGAGGAGGGGAGAGGGGAAGGAGGCGAGGGGGAGCGGGTGGAGTGGCGTGGAGGAAGCCGGGAGGTGACGAGCTTTGATGAGTTCACTGATGCGGTGAGTGTGAGGGGTGCATAGAACGTGGCTCATGGGGGGTGAGGCATGGCGCATGGAGCGTGGTGAGACTCATGGGCATGGGGCATGGGCAATGGGCATGGATTGATAGGAAAGCCATAGTGTGTCGTATTGTTTTCTGCCCAAGGCTCCTCTCAATACAAATCCCTTGGCCTCGTCGTCCCAATCACATCTCCCTCTCTTTCTCTCTCTCATCTCTCATCTCTCTCCCTGCCGCTGCCCTCCCTGCCTCCCCCTGTGTGCGCCCCGGCAGGTGCTGCCGCGCATCAAGGCGGCGGGGTACAATGCGGTGCTGCTGCTGGGCATCATGGAGCACCCCGACTATGCATCGCTGGGCTTCAAGGTGGGCACAAGGGTCAAGGGGGTTGCTTGCGAGGGGTGAGGGGCAAGGTGTAAGAACTTGATGCGCAGGACGCAGGGCAAAGGACTTCGTGGTGCTTTTGAGAATTCTCAAAACTGCTGGGTATCATGGAGCACCCTGGCTATGCATCGCTGGGTTTCAAGGTGGGTGCGAAAGGCAAGTTGGGGCGGGGGACAGTTACAGGCTGTGTATGTCTCTTGACCAGTGTCATTATGGTGGTGTGGGTGTGGCGAGGAGTGGAGGTGGGAGGGAATGACTGGAGGCACAGACGGTTCTGAGTTGAGTCGAGTAGCAGGAGAAGGAGGAGCACTTTTGTGAGTTGCACTGTTGATGTGTTGCTCCACTTTTGTGTGTCGCCAAAACAATATTTGCTGCTCGTCACAAGTCTCCCTTGTACACCCATTTGGCTCCATCTCCCCATGCATGTCCATTCTTTTGAGGCGCCTTAAAAGTCGTCACAAGCTTCCCTTGTACACCCACATTGCTCCATCGCCCCATTCACGTCCATTCATCCGTCTCACCCCTTCCTCCACCATCCTTCCCCCCTCCCGGCGTTTGTTGCGCATCACAGGTGTCGAGTCCCTTTGCAGTGAGCAGCCGCTTTGGCTCTCCGGATGCTTTCAAACGACTCGTCGACACGGCACATGGTGAGTGAGTGGTGCTGGTGCGCATGGTGTGAAAGGGTGCGCGTGGTGAGAGGCGAGAAGGGTGTGGTTTGATGGGCATGGCGGGGCAGGGAAGCACATGGAGTAGATGCTGTGCATGGCATGTGGGTGGTAGCGTTGCACGGCAGCGTTAAGCCATCCATGCCTCCCAAAACCCATTATGCTCCCACCCCCCACCCCGCTTGGAAATGCTGGTGCTCACGACAGGGCTGCACCAACACATCGCACCTGAAAGTCCCTCCACCCTCACCGCTCGCCACACTCCCTCTCTGCACTCACACAACCCCCGCCCCTCACCCTCCTCGCTCTCCCCACCCCCACGACCTCGCCTGGCAGGCATGGGGCTGCTGGTGATGATGAGTGTGGTGCACTCACAGGTGGGGTCATACGAGGCCTTTGGTCTGCTCAACTTCGACGGCCAAGCCAACTCCTTCATCCGCCCAGGCACGTGACATTCACGCCCACATGCATACCAGCAAGCACGTGTGCCGCTCTCTTTCAAGCCCTCTTCCACCCTCCGCGCTTTCCACCGCTTCCTGCGTTGACTCTACCGCACTCAACCGCGGCAGACTCATGCATTCTGCTGCTGTGCCACACCCGCCTCCATCATGCATTGCATGGGATGGTGGTGCTTGTCCTCTTCTCGAGCTGTACTATCAGCTCAGCCACCTGATCCATCACCTCACCCGCTCGTGTCTCCCCCTCATGTCTCCCCTTCGTGTCTCTCCTGCCATCCTCATTCTCACTCTCTGCACACCTCCGCCCCATGCCACGTGTGTGCGGGGCAGGCAAGAGAGGGTACCACAAGCGGGTGGGCACGCGCATTCCGGACTTCAGCAACTATGAGGTCAAGCGCTACCTGCTCTCCAACCTGCGCTGGTATGCTCCACCAGGAGGGCGGGCGCAGGGTGGCAGTGGATGGGGCACAGGGAACGGGGCATAGGAGAGTGGAGAGACTGGGGGGAAGAGTGTAGAGAAGGGCATTTGAAAGGGGGAAGGGGACTCGAAATGGTTGAATGTGTGTGCTGGAAGGAAGGAACCGAAAGGGCTTGGAGTGGGGTAGTCAGTGAAGGGAGAGCATGCAGGGGAGAGGAAAGGGCAGCACCAGAGAGGAAGGGTGGTGGGACTGTACAGTGTTCTTTCCCCATTTTTCGGACGGTGCATGTGTGTGTTGAGCGAAGGACGGGTTGCAGATAGAGCCACGGATGCATTACCACAACCAAGGGTGGTGCTTTCACGTGTCTCAACACGTGGCACATGTGAACTTACATGCTTTGCAACACGTGTGTGTGTGCGCGCATGTGTGTGTGTGTGTGTGTGTGTGTGTGTGTGTGTGTGTGTGTGTGTGTGTGTGTGTGTGTGTGTGTGTGTGTGTGTGTACGTTTGTACATGTGTGTGCATGAATGCATGCAAGGTTGCATGTGTGTATGGTGCATGCTTGGTTGCATGTGCGTGTGGTGCATGCATGGTTGCATGTGCGTGTGGTGCATGCATGGTTGCATTGCATGTTTGTGCGTGATCAGGTGGGCGGAGGAGTATCGGTTGGACGGCATGCTATTCCACTCGCTGCCATCCATGATCTACTTCCACAATGGATACTCCGACTTCGACCGAGGGGTGGAGGAGTGAGTCACACGCACGCATGCCCACGCATGCACACGCAAACACACATGCAAACGCACATCCATGCATGCGCGCATGCATGTCATGCACGTGCGCTTATCCCTGCATAGGCCACAGGTTTGCAGCACACGTGCTGTCATGCTTGCACTTACATCCTACTGCAGGATGTGTATGTAAGGGCCTCATCCGACCGGCCTGAAACATTTCCTCGATTCCTCCCTTCTCGCCCATTCCCCTTCTCTTCCCCTCCTCTTCCCCTCCCCTACCTCTCCCATTCCACGCACATCCTCCCCGCACCCTCCACCTCTCCGACTCTCTCCTCTCCTCCGCACCAGGTTCTTCGGAGCAGCAGTGGACGAGGATGCATTGGCATACCTGGTACTGGCGAACGACTTGCTGCACCAGCTCAACCCCGCCTTCCTCACCATCGCCCACGACGTACGTCACTTCTTCGCTTCGCGCTCCTTCGCTCATCCCCATTGCGCCTCTATCGCCTCTCTCTCAATAAGTGCTTGCATCAAAAAGCACGGATAGATGCAGGCATGCAGCCAGGAGGTGAGGGCAACACAAATAGGAGCTTCAAATTACATACTCATACCCAAACCCCTAATGCAGCCAATGTCCCCTAGTGGAGCTCCACCATGGGCGCCAGGATGGTACAACAGTCTCTTAGGGACATCGTGCAAGCTTTTCTTGTTGGTGGCATTCGCTCTTCGCCTTCTCTCTTACTGCCTGCCTGCCAGTCCCTTGTGTCCACCAGCGTCCACTCGCACGCTGCTCTCTGCCTTCTCTCCCATCCGCCGTTCTTCCTCCTCGCCCCGTCCTTCCGTTCCTCTGCACCCAACCCACTTGCACCCGTCCGTCCTCTCCCCTCGATCGTCGCCCCCTTGCTCTGCTTCCAATTCGTTCTCAAGGCGGGTATTGCTGTTGTATTAGTGGGTCACCAGTGGGTCATAACTCGCTCCCACTCACCCCAACACGGCTCCACCAAAACACCGCCCACCTGGTTACCTTCCACCAATCCCACTCCACGTGCCTGGGCTGCTCACCGCCTCCTCCTTCCCACCCTCCCTCCCATCCCCCTCCTCCTGTCCCCCTCCGTACCCCACCCCTTTCCCTCTTCCCCCCACCCCTTTCCCCTTTTCCCCCCCACCCTGGCCTTTGGCGGCAGTATACCCGGGGACACACCAGGGCGGGCTGGGGTTCGACCTGTGCCTGACCACCTCGTTTCCCGCGTCTTGCCCTAACCCCATCTCTCCCCTCTTTGCACTCTCCGCAGGCGACGGTGTACCCGGGGCTGTGTGCCCCCACACACCAGGGCGGGCTGGGGTTCGACCTGTGCCTCACCACCTCCTCCTTTCCCCTTTCTTGCCCCAACCCCATCCTTCCTCCTCTACGCACTGCCTTTCTCAGGCGACAGTGTACCCGGGGTTGTGTGCCCCCACACATCAGGGCGGGCTGGGGTTTGACCTGCGGCTGAATGGTGCACCCATGGAGATGTGGCCGTGGCTGCTGCACCATGCATGGGAGGGGGGGGAGGCCGTGCCGGGGCAGGCGCACCTGGAGGAGTGGAGCATGGAAGAGGTGCGTGCGTGGGTGGGTGGTTGAGCGAGTGAGTGAGTGGGTGGGTGGGTGGGAGGGTGGGTGGGTGGGCGGGCGGGCGGGCGGGCGGGCGGGCAGGTGGGTGGGTGGGTGGGTGGGTGGGTGGGTGGGTGGGTGGGTGAGTGAGTGAAAGAGTGTGTCTCAGTTTGTGACTACACGGTGTGTTGGGGCCGTAGCAAAGGCAGGACAGTATGGGGCGCACACACACAGGGGGAAAACGGGGGAAAAGGGGGAAACTTGGGGAGGGAATAGGGGGGACGAGCACAGGCAAACGGTGGAGAATGTGAGAGGAATTTGCTGCCATGACGTGTAAATGAGTGTGTTCATGCGTTCATGCATCTTTGCCTATGAGAGCGCTTGTGCAGCCACACCTTTGCAAGTGTACCTCTTCTTTCTGCATGTGTGTGTCAGCATTCATCTGCTGCTACCCATCAGCCAGGGACAGTCTAGCTAGCTCAGAGCGCACAGCTCTGCCCTCTCTTTCCACACCTCCCACCTCCCCTGCGGGGTGAAAATGAATGCGGAAAAGAAAAGAAAAGAAAAGAAAAGAAAAGAAAAGAAAAGAAAAAGAAAAGAAAAAAAAAAAAAAGAAGGAAAAAAAAAAAAAAAAAAACACACACACACACACTCACACACACAAAAAAAACACACACACACACACACAAAAAAAAAAAAAAAAACAAAAAAAAAACAGTTGTCTTGGTGTTATTTCTTTGTCAGCACAGCCTACGGTTCATTAGCAGCCAAACAATTGCCTCTCGGTTGAGAATTCTAAAAAGGGATTCTAGCAGCCACTCCACCCACCAACTTCTTGTCTTCTTCACACACCTACTTCTTGTCCCTGGCGTGGCCTCCCTGCACTTTCGCTGTGTGCCGTGCAGATGATGCTCACATTGCTGCAGCAGGGCTGTGGGGAGCGCACCCTCGTGTGCGCTGAGGGCCACTTGCAGGTGCGGTGTGGTGGATGGATGCATAAGGGTGTGCGCATGTGTGTGCATGTTTGTATATGCGTGCTACATACATGTGGATGCTTGCATGTGCATGTTTGTACGCGGGCTACATACATGCATGCTCGCACTCAGGAGTTTCTTCACCACTCTGACTACAAGCAAAGTTAACTCACATGAGCAGCCAGCCGCGAGCACTTCCTGAGCACTTTTCATCCTGAGCACAGCTCATCCTTCTCCCTCTGCTTTTCTGCTCATTCCCACTTCCACTCCCCTTCCCATCTTCCCCCACCGCCCTCCTCCCATGGTGGGTAGCAGGCAGTAGCGGGAGAGCCTCTAGCGCACACATTGATAGGCCGATACATGCCCGATGACCAGGAGCTGCCACCCGCACCACACTCGTCATCTTCATTCTCAGCACCATCAACAGCATCGCCAACAGCAATAGCACCCACACCCGCATCCGCACCCGCAGCAACGGCGTGGTACCAGCTACCTCAAGTGCACCGCGGCGTGGCTCTCTACAAAGTAGCACCTCGCATCCCTGCGCTCTTTGCTGCTCCGCTATGTCACCGCAACCTGCTTGCTGTTGATGCATGTGTCCTGCCGCATCACCAACCATTGTGCCTCTACAGCGTTCCTCCCACACCCTGCCCCTGCCACCCTCCTCCCATCCGCTTGCTTCTTCTCACCCTCTCCTCGTCCAACCTTCCTTCCACTCGCCCCAACCCCATGGCAGTTGATTCGGCTGATAACGCTGTCAGCAGGGGGGGATGCATACATGTCGTTCATGGGGAATGAGTTCGCCCACCCGCATGTGAGACACCCCCATCCTCCCTCTGCCGTCCATTCTCCTGGCATGGCTTGGCATTCCACAAAGCCTCGTACCATGCTCGTGGCATGGTTATGAAAGCACTGCGTGACAGCTTTTGGCTTTGGAACATCCGCTCATCGAACCTGGCTGCTAATCTCCATGTTCACGTCAAGTCGCTTGCTGCTTCTGGTCCCTCATCTCGCTCCCTCTTTCCCTGCCTCTCGAATGGCCCCATCCTGCCTTGCCTTGCCTTTCACTCCCCTTCGCCTTCTGCCTTGTCAGCCTCATGGCGAGCACCAGCATACCAGCCATCCCAGTCAGCTTCTTATGAGGCTGCACTTATCAACCGTCACCACCATGACCATTGTGCTTCTTACCAATACCTCCTCGCTTTTCCTCTCCCCCTCTCCACCCCTTTCCCTCTTCTCCCCCCCTTTCCCTCTCCCCCTCTCCCCCTCTCCCATTCACCTTTCCCCTCCTCCTCTCCCCCCTCACCCGCAGCGCCTGCATCTGACATCAAGGCCGCATGAGGGCTCGTCGCAGTGCTGCTGGCACCTGCAGGAGGACGCTCACAGCCCCTTCGCCCACGTAGCTGCGTTCGATAAGGTACTGCCAGCTCTGCGTGCTTGCATTGCATGTCACATGCGCACTCAGCTCATGCGCGGTAGCTGGTGTGACGAGTATGCATGCAGTGCACCACCACGCGCATGCCCTGTGTTTGTTGAACCTCGCATACATGTGTGCATGTGCACAGACTCACATGCATGCACATACGCAACTTATCGTGTACCTCACTAGATGTTCACATTCACATCCACATCCGCGTACGGGTTGCTACTCGGTGCATTCACATGTGGGTTCTCATGCAGGCAGCCCGGTGTGACATGGCATGCATTTTACTCTCCATGGTAAGGATGGTTTTGTCCTGCGACTTGTGATGGTTTTGTGCTGCGACTTGTGATGGTTTTGTGCACCTGTGACTTGTGATGGTTTTGTGCTGTGTTATGGTGCGATCGGTGACGGCATGGCATGGCATGGCATGGCATGGCATGGCATGGCATGGCATGGCAGGCGGTGATGGCGCTGGACGAGAGGGAGGGAGTGTTGGCACTGGAGAAGCCTCACATGCGCCATGTCAGCGAGGAGCACCGGGTGAGATGCGGTCATGCTAGGTGGTGACAGGTGGTGACAGGTGGTGACAGGTGGTGACAGGTGGTGACAGGTGGTGGCAGGTGGTGCAGTGATGGGAGGTGAAGTGCTTGCTAAGTGCAACTACTTTCTCTCACTTCTGTTTGGGCTTGTGTTGCATTCAAATGCCACATACCGAGTTACTTTTGAGAGCTGCGTGAAGGGACAATCAGTCATTAGTCATTCCCTGCACGCTCACCATCTTATGTCGCTCTCTCTCTGTCTGCCTACCACCTATGCCCAGGTGGTGTGCTTCACACGCGGACCGCTGCTCTTCCTCTTCAACTTCCACCCCACGCGCTGCTTTGCCTCCTTCTCCATCGCCCTGCCTCGTGCCAGCGAGTACACTGTGAGCTACCCGTCCCCTGCTGCCCTTCACCATCACCACCACCACCCCATGCGATGCCACCCACCACCATTCGCCCCACCGACGTGCCATCACATTCTCTCTCACACTCCCCGTTGTGCTTCCTCCTCACGGCACCTGCCACAGCTCTTCTCCCTGCAGCTCTTGTCTCCCACCTCCTCCTCCTCGCCCCGTTGCAATTCCTCCTCCCTGCAACCCCCCATCTCCTCCCCTCCCATCCCTCCAGTCCGTTCCTTCCCTCTCCCCTCTCTGCCTTTCTCCCTCGTGCCAACACCACTTGCTCCACCTATTTATCTCCCCCACCACCTGTGTGCGCCAGCTACTGCTGGACTCAGAAGCTCGGGAGTATGGGGGGGGAAACCACGCGCACGGCATCCAGGCACTGCCCACAGTGCTAGCCACACCCATGCCACTGCCTGCCCACTCGTACGTCTCAACACAGCCTTACCATCCGCTTTGCCCATGTCGGCTTTGCACCACCCTCACCGGGGGTCTGAAACGGCCGTGCTCAGCTGTTGGGTGTGACTGTTATTGAGAGCGCACCTGGCCCCCGTTTACATGTGTGTTCACCATGCAGTTCCACCTTGTTTCCGCGCACTTCTTACATCCATCCCGCTTGTCGTGAGATTGGTCTGTGTCACCTCTCGTTTCCAACTCCACCCATTTGATGCCTTGTGCTTCTCTGCTCCGCTGTATTGATCTCCTCAATTATGATGCTCCCTTCCTGCTGTGATCTGAATGGCTGGTATCTCTTGCTTCTCCCATCTCGCATGGACCAGGCAAGTATACCGCAGGGGAGCCACAGCGTCCTTCGCACTGCCTGCTCTTACTGCTCAGGTGCCTCTCAACCCAGCCTTACTCAGCCTAACTCAACATAACCGAGCCCTCTCCCACTACATTCACGCAAAGAAGTCCCTGGCCTCCTGTTCCCTTCCCTACTTGCCTGACGGTGCTTCAACCAGACCTCACTCTCTCTGTGCGCACCCAAAGTCTCTGCTCACGCTTTCTGTGTGTCTGTCTCCCTTACCGCCCCCCCTCATGGCAGGTGTATCGCCTTGACAGGATCTGGGAGGGCAGCCCTGGCTCTGTTCCCTCAGAGACTGTCTGACTGTCCAACTCCTGTAATCAGTGTACCGTTTTACTGACCTGCCGCAGTGCAGCACATAAGGCTTGTACGGGCTCGGCTGCACTGAAAGTCACAATGTTATGTCATTGTGTAATAAATAGCAGGCTGGTATCAACTATGAGCTACCCTGCCCAGCCCAGTCCAAGTTTCCAATGATTTTGCTGGCTATAAAGATTCCCAGCAAGGCATGCATCCCGACAAATCAGGAGGTTTACTTCTCGAAAACAAAACCACCTCCATCAAAGTCTGGTTATATTTAAAATGGGCACTGGCTTTGACTCGCTCTTTCCTTGTCTCTCTCCATGATCGGTAAAACATAACAAGCTAGGAAAGGACGTACGGTTTTGGTACCGTACGTCAAACTGAATTGATAAAATTCTTATAGTGCCGTGTAGTAAGCAATAACAATACCTTACAAGTATAACCGATATAAAGCGTGACATTATAACGTGTCTTTTCTGTCATGAACCATGGACCCCACTTTACCACCCTACCGCCTTGCTTTTGCGTGTGCCACTTCGGGGTCATAATAACCCGTTTCTTATTCTAGACGACTTGCTAACCCGCTTTCACAGTCGACCCCGCGATCCGCCAAGATGAATGCGCCAGATCGCTACGAGCGCTTCGTGCTCCCCGATGGCATGAAAAAGTGAGTGCTCTCCCGGCAGCAAGCACCGAGAAACGACTTTTTAGGCGCCTCAAATGTTGGAACGCCACGGCCGTAAGGAAAGAGAGAGCGACTGGACGAGCTGGATAGGACGAGTGCACAGCTCAGCTTCGCACGTTCGTCGACTGCCCGTTACCTCCGCCTTATAGTCCGTCTCGCTTCTCGCTTCCATCCTCGCCTCCCCCGTCATTGAAAGGGACCGCAAGTGATGGAAGGCGCGCGGGTGGAGGCAACGGGGGCGGCGGACAGGGATGGGGGTGAGGGGTGGGATTATATTATACAGAACCCGAAAGGGAGCGTGCGTGGATAATCGTTGGATGGCGTTATCATCACACTCCTTTGCGTTCCTGAATCAGCCTTTCCCTCTGCCTGTTTACCCGTACCCATACCCTTGCCCGTGCCCGTTCCCGTGCCCGTTCCCGTGCCCGTTCCCGTGCCCGTGCCCGTGCGTGTGCCCTTGCGTGTGCCCGTGCGTGTGCCCTTGCGTGTGCCCGTGCGTGTGCCCGTGCGTGTGCCCGTGCGTGTGCGTGAGCGTGTGCGTGTGTGTGCGCGTATGCCCTTGCGTGTGCCCGTGCATGTGCCCATGCCGATGCCTGTGCGCGTCCCGTACCCACGCCCATGCGAGCGGGCATCAGAGTATCGTACGAGCGCGACACCAAGGTGTTGAACGCGGCGACGCTGGTGATTCAGAGGGAGGACCACACCATCGGCAACCTGCTGCGCATGTACGTGCTCTGTCATGCCCACACCGGTGCCCACCGCTGCCCACCGCTGCCTCACACCCTGTTATGCCCTGCCGCGCCCTGCCACACCCTGCCACACCCTGCCACGCCTTGCCACACCCCGCACCACCTACGAGGGGTCCCTACGATTGTGTTGCTATTGCCACACTCTGCTTCTCACACGCCCCGCCCCGTTCCGTCCTCCACTCCGTCTCCTCTCTCTGACCCCCCTCTTATCGCTCATCACCTCCCACCCGTCCCTTGTGAACTTCTCCCACTCCTTTGCTCCACCTCCGTTTCTCCAATTCACTGCCCACCCTCCCCGCCGCCGCCTTACCCCTCCCATTTGACTCGTCGATGAGCTGATGCTGTGTCTCTATCGTTGTGTGCATGGGTGTGGCACGTGTGACGTGTCTATTCTCTGTGTGCTGTGCTGCTGACATCCACGCATACGTGTCTATGTATGTGATGCCGATGCATGCTCTTACCGATGCATGCGTGCATGGGGTTGCAGGCAGCTACACAGAGACCCGCATGTGCTCTTTGTGGGGTACCGCATTCCTCACCCGCTCAAGTATGAAGTGCAGTTCAAGGTTCGTCTGCACCTCCGCGCACTCTTGCCTCTCTTCCTCCTCTCGCCTCACTTCCTCCTCTCGCCTCTTTTCCTCCTCTCGCCCCTCTTCCTCCTCTCGCCTCTCTTCCTCCTCTCGCCTCTCTTCCTCCTCTCGCCTCTCTTCCTCCTCTCGCCTCTCTTCCTCCTCTCGCCTCTCTTCCTCCTCTCGCCTCTCTTCCTCCTCTCGCCTCTCTTCCTCCTCTCGCCTCTCTTCCTCCTCTCGCCTCTCTTCCTCCTCTCGCCTCTCTTCCTCCTCTCGCCTCTCTTCCTCATCTCGCCTCTCTTCCTCCTCTCGCCTCTCTTCCTCCTCTCGCCTCTCTTCCTCCTCTCGCCTCTCTTCCTCCCCTCGCCTCTCTTCCTCCTCTCGCCTCTCTTCCTCCTCTCGCCTCTCTTCCTCCTCTCGCCTCTCTTCCTTCTCTCGTCTCTCTTCCTCCTCTCGCCTCTCTTCCTCCTCTCACCTCTCATCCTCCTCTCGCCTCTCTTCTTCCTCTCGCTCCTTACACTGCCTCTGTCATTACCCCGTGAAAGCCCAGACGAGCTTATTTCTGCTGGCAGTTTCATCCTCCTTTCTTCGTCCTTGTTCCCTCCTCCAAATGTTCTGCGTACCCCCCCCCACATTCGGATTTCTCAGCTGCTTGTCACCACAATCTTTTAACATGGATTTTCAACTCTCATCCCTTTCTCCCTTCCCAACCCGCCTTTACCCACATTGTTCTCTCTCCTTTTCTTTGCTTTCCCTTGCCATTTCACATTTGAAGATGCCAGCTTCCATGTGTACCCACCTGTTGGCGCATCCTCTCCACCACACCCTGTGCCATCCATCCCACACATGCACGACCCATGCCGCCCATGGCCCATGGCCCCATCGCCCATGCCCCCATGGATTGTGCAGATCCAAACTACGAGCCAGTCGTCTCCCCAGCAGGCGTACAACACAGCCCTCACGGCCCTCGACGGAGAAATGCTGCAACTCAAGGCTTCCTTTCAAGTCAGGCTTTCTTTCACTCCTCCTCTCCTTTCCCCCTCCTCTCTCCCTCTCTCTCTCCCTCTCTCTCTCTCTCTCTCTCTCTCTCTCTCTCTCTCTCTCTCTCTCTCTCTCTCTCTCTCTCCCCCTCTCTCTTTCTTTCAGAAAAACACATACACACACTCCCATGCCCTACCACTCTCTCACTCACTCTCTCTACCACTCACTCTCACTCACTCACTCACTCACTCACTCACACATGTGTGCGCACACGTACACCTGTATCCACCAGCCACCACCTACACCCACCCACACCCACACCCACACCCACACCCACACCCACACACGTACTCCCACATGCACACGTATGCACCCATGCACCCGTGCTCACACCTGCACATAAGAGTACGTCCGAATGCAGTTGAAAACTGTTTGGTACAATTTATATCAGAGCGGTTAATCTAAGAAAAATGTTTGGATCAGGTTTACTAGTACTACTGACTCGAGTACATACATTTCGAACAGGGCTCTCGTTATCAGACCAAATTGGTCTGATTTTCTGATTTTCAGACCTTCATTTCTTATTTCATCTGATTTGTAAGACAATGCTTTTTATTTCGTCTGATCCATAAGACGAAGAGTTATATATCGTCTGATTTTTTAGAGCACGCGTTATACTTCATCTGAAATTTCAGATAGCGAGGATCTTTTCGTCTGATACCGACAAACCTGGCCTCTGACTATAGGTCGTCAGATTCGGCAGATTCGTCGTCAGAATTCCGCTAGTCCAGAACCCCAGCCCAGCCCAGCCCCGTCTACCAGCCCAGCCCGAAGGCCCCGTCGCCTCTCCAGCCCAGCCCGAAGTCCCCTCCCTGTTAACAGCCCAGCCCAAAGCCCCCATCACCTCTTCCAACTACCTTGCGCCACATCCAGCCCAGCTCTTCTCTCCCAACTCCCGCACACTCAACCGAGCCACTCCCACAACTCCAAGCCAATTCCCTCGTAACCCAACCCCTCCTAGTCCCTCACCTTTCTGCCGGGTAGTGTTTAGCTAACGCGCTGCTGCGTCATGAAGTTGCAAGTTGCCACATCAGATGTGGAAAAAAAATCCGTATGAAATTTCAGACATGCCATGAACTTTCATCTGGAAAAACAGACCAGCGAAATTTTCCCGTCTAAGCGTCAGACGAAACGATTTTTTTTGTTAGGGTTTCCAGACGGGCCTAAAACCTAGCGAGAGCCCTGATTTCGAACTCGCCCTTACTGTTTTCCTCCCTCCAGCCATTCATCATGATATGAGGAAGAGGGATAAAATGTCCACAGAAGCCTCGTTCTTTTGCGTGCATGCACGTATGAATGTGTTCAGTTACTGATCTTTTTTCAAGCGCTTGTGTGTCTCTTGCTTTTTGTTATTCGGCTTTGCAGGAGGCAGTGAAGCAATGTCGTGAGCGCCCAGCTTATTACTGACATTTTCCTGCATTTGTACTATTATACTAACGTACTCTTTTTTAGTTTGTTTCATTTTCTGCGCCGTGTTATGTTGCTGTTCTTTAATAAAGTTTGTTGGAATAACCGAAAGGTTATAAAGGCATTCCCGAAGTTGCTCCACTGTACTAGTACCGCATTAGCTCATATAGAGCACGCGGAATCTCGAGGGTCACCCGAAGGTCAACCGTCTAAGATAGTCAACGGTCGTGACCCTTGACGATCCAGTAACCGCGCGACAGTTAACAGACTGCAACACGGTAACTGTCAAGAATAGCAATAGTCGTGGTTACTGTAGCTATGTAATACAGTTAATAAAGAAATGTACCCCTCAGAGTACATGGCTAGATAGTTTGCTATTTAATTTCTTGTACTCCTACTCTCTAATCATCTTGTTCTCTTTCAACTATTATTCAACAAGGTCACTACAGAGACTTCACTGTCTCCTTTCAGGCTTAACACATTCTATCCTATCCACTGATCCTTTGGTTGTATCAGCATGGTATGAGAGCTAGAGTGGATTATAGGATCTGTCAAGCCCTCGTTCTTCCTAGAACAATCCTTTCATAAAATCAATTATCACATCTTAAGGTCTGCAACACTATGGCTCCTGAAGGGAAAGCTACTGCAGACTCACCGGGCCCACCACCAGCAACTACTAACGCGCCATCAGCGGTGACCTCCGTCAACGCCGCTGTCGTTGAGCAGCTAGTCGCACGCATCAACGCTCTTGAAAGCCATCAGGCTATGAGCATTGATGGCTCAAGCTATGCACGTGGCGTTGCTGGACTTCCTCTCCCTGGAGAAGACCGCCGCGTCAACTCCGAGAGATCCTTCACCTTTGACAATCGTCAAGGGTCAGCTCCTGCACAAGACAACCCACAACGGTCGCAGTCAGACATCGCTTCAATGCAAACCAAATTTGTACTGACTTCAAAATTGAAGACCTCAATTCCTTTCGACGGAAAGGATTTTTACACGTGGAGTTTCGAATTCGAGCTTCTTGCGACAACCGCTCAGATCTGGATGTACTACGACGGAAGTCTGCCCTTTCCCTCGGAAGGCACATCCAGGAGAAGCATCAGTACTACCACGAATCACTTCTCGCGTACACCGCTCTCCTTCGCAATCTCTCACCTGAAGAGCAGCTCGGCATTCGTCCGTACAAGACGGAGTGGGCTCCCGCGCACGCATCCTGGGAACACCTGCGCAACTCATACATGGCAACAGATCCAGTTACTATGAGTCGCCTGCTCAGTCAACTAACTTCGGTTAAAATGAAGCAAGGGGAGAAAGCGGGACCGTATGTTAATCGGTGCCGCAATCTGCGCGATCAAGTCAAGAAGTGCGGTGGTTCTGTCCCCGACGACATGTTCATCTCAATGGTCATTTCAGGCCTTGGCCCCGACTGGCGTCAGTGCCAGTCACTCCTTCGCGCCCGAGCAACCATATCGGAGTCGGCTCTGTGCGCCACGCTTCTTTCGGAGCAGAAGGAGATCGACCTGTACAACGAGAAGAACGTCAAGCGGGAAAAATTAGCCTTCTACACAGGAGGATCCCAAGGGGAGCAACGCGGAAAGAAAGGAGCTTTCTGCAAATACTGCAAGAAGTCTGGCCACTCCATCGACCAGTGCTACAAGCGTCAGGCTGCTGATGAACGGCGCAACGCCTCCAACCAGCAACCCTCAGCTCAATCCAAGCCTTCTGCCGCAACCTCCACTGTGTCGCCTCCCTCGGTCGCCAGTACTTCTTGTTAAATTGTAATGTGTTTTATGTTGGTAGGCTGTAGTGGGGTAGCCAATATGGGGTACAACCCCAACTAGGGTTTCACATTTGTACCCAAACTTCTGCTAGTTCATTCATTCTTGCCTAGTGATTTTGATATGGTATTCAGAGCGGGAGGTCCCTAGGACCTACCGACCATTTTTTTTAAGGGCCCACCACCGCTCGCATGCGGTTACCACGCTACCCCGTGCCCTAGCCTCGTAGCGCCCTCGTGCGCCCTCGTTAGCGCCCTCGCGCGCCCCTCGTTAGCGCCCTCGCGCACCCTCGTTAGCGCCCTCGCGCGCCCCTCATTAGCGCCCTCGCGCGCCCCTTGCTAGCGCCCTCGCGCGCCCCTCGCTAGCGCCCTCGCGCGCCCCTCGCAGCGTCGCCCGCCCGCCGAGCCGCCCGCTCGCAGCGTCGCCCGTCCGCCACGCTGCCCGCTCGCCCCTCGCCCGCCGCGCTGCCTGCTCGCAGCGTCGCCCGCTCGCCCCGCTGCCCGCTTCGCAGCCCGCTCGCCCCGCTGCCCGCTTCGCAGCCCGCCCGCCCGCTCGCTGCCCGCTTCGCGGCCCGCCCGCTTCGCTGCCCGCTCGCAGCGCCGCCCGCCCGCCCGCTACCTCCTTTGCAGCGTCGCCCGCCCCCTTGCTGCCCGATCGCAGCGTCGCCCGCCCGCCCGCTGCCCGCTTCGCAGCGTCGCCCGCTCGCTCGCTGCCCGCTCGCAGCGTCGCCCGCCCGCCCGCTGCCCGCTTGCAGCGTCGCCCTCCTGCCTCGCTGCCCGCTTGCACCGTCGCCCGCCCGCCCGCTGCCCGCTTGCAGCGTCGCCCGCCCGCCCGCTGCCCGCTTCGCAGCCGCCCGCCGCGCTGCCCGCTCGCCGCGTCGCCCGCCCGCCCCGCTGCCCGCTTCGCAGCCCGCCCGCCGCACTTCCCGCCTGCAGCGCTGCCCGCCTCGCCTGCTGCTCCCTGCCCGTGCACCGCCGCTTGCTCCTGCTGTGGCTGCTAGCTTCGCTCTAGCGCGTCCCCTCTGCTGCTGCCGCTGCTCTGCTGTGCCCTCACGCCTGAGCTATGGCCTCTATTCGCGTTCTTTCCTTCGATGCTGAGGGCCGTCCCGTGCAGTTCACTTCCTGGCTCGACGACCTGCAGTTGTATCTTATGAGCAATAGCACGGACCACATCTCCCTCTATGACTACGCGTCTGGTGCTGCCGCTGCTCCTGCTGCCACAGCCGAGCTTAGTGTACGTTCACAGTGGCAGACTCGTGACGCTGCAGCTCGCCTGGCTATTCGCAGTCACCTGCCGTTCCCTGAGCTAGAGCACTTTGGCGACTGCAAAACCGCTAAAGCCCTATACGACGCTGTCGTTGCTCGCTACTCCTCACCTGCCACAGCCGAGCTTAGCCGTCTCATGCTGCCTTACCTGTTCCCTGACCTGTCCACCTTTGCTACAGTCGCCGATCTTATCACCCACCTTCGCACTAGTGATGCTCGCCTGCGTGCCGCCCTTCCCACCGAGTTCTGCGCTAAGAACCCCCCTCCCCTGTACTGGGCACTCCACTTCATAGTCACCCGTCTCCCTGACACCCTCAGCTCAGTGCGCGACTATTTCCTTGCTCGCTGTCCCACTGAGCTCACTGTCGCCCTCCTAGAGGAGAAGCTGCTAGCAGCCGAGAAGAGCATTGTAGCTGTAGGTGCTGCTCGTGGCGCTCCTCGCACCCCCATCTTTGAGGGATGCTCTCCCTCTCCCCTCGCTCCCTCCTATGCTACTGCTGCTGCTGTTGACTTCCTTGGTGCTGAGACTGCTGGCGCTGCTTCTGCTCCTGGTGGGAGGCGCCGCACCGGCAAGGGCAAGGGGGGCAAGGGTGGCGGGGGTGGCGCTGGGGGGGGAGGGGGTGGGGGAGGTGGGGGGGGAGGCGGTGCTGGAGGGAGCGGTGGCGGGAGTGCCGGTGGGAGTGGGGCCGGCGGCGGAGGCGGGGGCGGCGGCGGGAGCAGTGGCGGTGGTGGCAGCGGCGGCAGTGGCGGCGGTGGCGGTAGTGGCGGTGGCGGTGGCGGTGGTGGCGGTCGGAGCGGAGGTAGTGGCGGCGGTGGAGGTCGGAGTGGAGGCACAGGCTCGGGCCAGAGCTCCCAGCAGCAGCAGCGTCCCCAGTCGACCCAGCAGCTTCGTGAGTGGCTTGCTCAGCGTGGGACGTCGGGGGGCAGTGGCCGCTGTTCCTATGTCATTCGCACAGGTGATCGCAAGGGGCAGACGTGTGGAAAGTTCCACACTCAGTACCGCTGCTTCTTCCGCCTTGACGACGCTTGGCGTGAGGAGATGGGCGAGGATGTTGAGCGCCCTCGCTGGGCTGAGCTGATGAGGGCTGGGGTTGATATCTTTGCTCTTGACTATGATGCTATTATTGCTGCCATGTATGCATTGACTGTTAGTGCCGAGGGAGACTGTTACTTGTGTGTGCCGCCTGACCCTGGTATAGAGCCCGCTGCCCTAGGTACTAGTGAGTCTGCTCTCTCTGGTATGGTGCCCCCTGTACCTGCTCCCCCCAGCACTGTCCCTGCTGCTTGCGAGTCTGCTCTCTCAGGTACAGCACCCACAGAGACTGCTCTCTCAGGTACTGCACCGGCTGAGGCCTGTCACACCTTCACCCTTGACTCAGGTGCTTCCCGCTGCTTCTTTCGAGACAGTACTGAGCTCACACCGCTTCCTGCACCGGTCCCAGTCTCCTTGGCTGACCCCTCTGGGGGCCCGGTCCTTGCCCGGTCCACCACTGTGCTCCCTTGTCCGGCGGTTCCGTCTGGCTCGTTGACGGGTTTCCACCTCCCCTCGTTCTCGACGAACCTGGTGAGCAACGCTGTCATCCAGGATCAGTGGGTTGACACCTTTGAGCAACGCTGTCATCCAGGATCAGTGGGTTGACACCTTTACCCCTGGAGGACAGCGTGTGGCGATCTGCACGTGCTCCAGGACCGGCCGTCACCTGGCTACGTTTACTCGTCGGCCGGGGTCGAGTCTCTACACACTGACCACTGCGTCTCCTCAGGTCGCTGCTGTCGGTCAGGTGTCCGCGTCAGGTCTGGTAGCCCACGCCTGTGAGTGTCGTTCCCTGTCGCACCAGACTCTTCTCTGGCACCACCGCCTGGGTCACCCCTCCTTGCCACGCCTCCGTGGCATGCACCGTCGCCACCTTGTGTCTGGTCTTCCCAGGTCCCTCCCTCCCCTCCCTGCCTCGCCTGCGCCGCCTTGCCTTCCTTGCGTCGAGGGGCGGCAGCGCGCCGCTCCTCACTCCTCCTCGTTCCCCCCGACAGAGGCTCCTCTGCAGACCCTCCACCTGGACGTGTGGGGCCCAGCCCGCGTTCGTGGTCAGGGCGGTGAGCGGTACTTTTTGCTGGTTGTCGACGACTACTCGCGTTACACCACGGTCTTCCCCTTGCGCACCAAGGGTGAGGTCCCTGCTGTTCTGATCCCTTGGATCCGCACGGTTCGTCTCCAGCTCCGCCGCCGTTTCCGGACGGATCTTCCTGTCCTGCGTCTGCACTCTGACAGAGGTGGTGAGTTTTCCTCCGATCTCTTGAGGACCTTCTGTCAGGCGGAGGGCATCGAGCAGACCTTCACGCTTCCGGACTCCCCACAGCAGAATGGGGTTGCTGAGCGCCGCATTGGCCTGGTCATGGAGGTCGCTCGTACCTCCTTGGTCCACGCGGCGGCTCCCCATTTTCTGTGGCCGTTTGCTGTCCGGTACGCCGCGCATCAGCTCAACCTCTGGCCCCGTGTCTCCTTGCCGGAGACCTCGCCCACACTGCGTTGGACGGGGGAGGTTGGCGATGCGTCGCGCTTCCGGGTGTGGGGTGCTCGTGCCCTTGTCCGCGATACGTCCGCGGACAAGCTCTCCTCCCGCACGCTTCCCTGTGTCTTCCTTGGCTTTGTCCCTGACGCGCCGGGCTGGCAGTTTTACCACCCCACCTCGCGCCGGGTCTTCGCCTCTCAGGACGTCACCTTTGACGAGTCGGTCCCTTTTTACCGTCTCTTCCCCTACCGTACTGCCCCCCTCCCTCCCCCGCCGCTTTTCCTTGCTCCTGGTCCCCCTCCGGTAGACCCCCTTCCCCCTCAGGGTCCTGCTCCTTCAGGTGTCTCTCAGGTAGACCCTCCTCCCGTCGCTGAGCCTGTCGAGGTCACAGGTGACTCAGGTGCTGCTGCAGGTGGTGCTGCTGGGAGTGCTGAGCCTGCGGGTGCTGGGCCTGGGGGTGCTGGGACTACGGGTGCTGGAGCTGAGGGTACTGTGCCTGAGAGTTCGGCGCCTGGGGGTGCTGAGCCTGGGGGTGCTGCGACTGGGGGTGCTGAGCCGGCGTGTGCGGAGTCTGGGGGTGCTGAGTCTGGGGGTGCTGCGCCTGCGGGTACTGAGCCTGGGGGTGCTGCTACTGAGCCTACGGAGCCTCGGGTTGCTGCGTCTGGGGGTGCTCCGGTTCGGGGTGCTGAGCAGTCTCTCACACCACAGCAGCTTCGTGACTGGTACGTCCGGCGCTTTCGCCGTCCTAGTGGCTCGGCTGGAGCTGGGGGTACTGGAGCTGCCGGGACTGGTTGTTCTGGGCGCACTACGACTGGAGCTGCTGGAGCTGGGGACTCTGGAGCTGGCGGCGCTAGCGGAGTTGTAGCTGCCGACCCTGGGGGTGCTGCTGCTGCTGGTGCTGCGGACCCACCTGGTGGAGCTGCTGCTGGAGCTGAGGACCCGAGCGGTGGCGCTGCTGCTAGTGCTGAGGACCCGGACGCTGGAGTCTCTTCTGCTTCTGGAGACGCTGCGCGGCCGCGGCCGTACTTCGTACCGCTCCTTCAGCAGGTTCTTGGGCAGGCTCCTCCTCCTTGTCCTTCTCCCTCCGTAGAGTGTCCTCCGACTGTCCAGCCGCAGTCACAGTTCCCGCCTGCCTCGCCTCTCCCTGCTCCCTCTCCTTACACTGGTCCCACAGGAGGTCTTACAGAGCGTCGTGAGCCTGAGTCTCGTCCTGCGTCGCCTGTCCGTACTGCTCGCACTGGTCGTCGTGTCCGTCGTGAGCATCCTCCTCCTGTCCCAGGCACTCACTATATGACTCTGCGTCCCTCTACTGCTCCTCAGCGTGTCCCTCTGCCGTCTCCTCCTGCGTCCTCTTTGCCTGCTGTTCCGGACCCTGAGTCTGACCAGTATCGTGCTGAGCACCCTACTGTCACGCGTCTCCTAGCTACTGTTGTCACTGACCCTACCTTTGAGTCCTCGGCTGCGTCTGCTCTGGTCGCTGAGTTGGTTGACTTTGCTGCTACCTGTCGTCTAGACTACGCTGCTCGCCTTGTTGCTGGGTCTGAGTCTGCGTCTGTCTGTCCTCCGTCCGTCGGGGGTGAGTGTGCTCTTGGCACGGACGTCCTTGAGGACAGGCAGGAGGACTTTGACTCTCTCGCGGCTGCTGTACCTCATCTCGTGGCCTGGTTGCTTGCCCCTGAGGGAGACCCGGATGCACTAGACATCCCCACTCCGCGCACTTACGCAGAGGCGATCTCGGGTCCCTACTCCTCTCAGTGGCAGACAGCCATGGACGCAGAGATGGCATCCTGGAAGTCCACAGGCACCTACGTCGACGAGGTTCCCCCTCCTGGGGCGAACATCGTCGATGGCATGTGGATTTTCAGGGTGAAGCGGCTGCCAGGTTCTCCGCCTGTCTTCAAGGCTCGTTACGTTGCTAGAGGCTTCAGTCAGCGTCAGGGGGTCGACTTCTTCCAGACCTTCTCCCCCACCCCGAAGATGACCACTCTTCGGGTTCTGCTGCACGTTGCTGCTTAGCGTGACTACGAGCTTCACTCTCTTGACTTCAGCACAGCGTTCCTGCAGGGCAGCCTGCACGAGGAGATCTGGCTGCGCCGCCCACCTGGCTTTACTGGGTCGTTTCCTCCTGGTACCCAGTGGAGCCTCCGCCGGCCAGTCTACGGTCTCCGCCAGGCGCCACGCGAGTGGCACGACACACTGAGGACCACACTTGCGGCTCTTGGGTTCGCGCCGTCTACTGCTGACCCGTCGCTGTTTCTGCGCACAGACACGTCGCTGCCGCCGTTCTACATTCTCGTGTACGTCGACGACTTGGTCTTTGCTACTGCTGACACTGAGGCACTCGCTCGTGTGAAGTCGGAGCTGCAGAAGAGACACACCTGCACTGACCTGGGTGAGCTGCGTAGCTACCTTGGCTTGCAGATCACCCGGGACAGAGCTCGCCGCACCATCACCCTGACTCAGTCACACATGGTGCAGCAGGTCCTTCAGCGCTTCGGCTTCCAGTTCTCCTCACCACAGGCCACACCTCTGGCTACCAGCCACTCGCTCTCAGCTCCACCTTCGGACGAGTCCGTAGAGCCGAGTGGCCCGTACCCAGAGCTTGTAGGCTGCCTCATGTACCTGATGACTTGCACACGACCTGACCTCGCGTACCCTCTTAGCATCCTTGCTCGTTACGTTGCGCCTGGGAGACACAGGAGAGAGCACTGGGAGGCTGCTAAGAGGGTGCTGCGTTACTTGTGCAGTACATCAGGCATGGGGCTGGTGCTTGGAGGACACGACAGAGTTGTTCTCACTGGTCACTCGGACGCTTCTTGGGTGGACGACTTGGCTACGCAGCGGTCGTCGCAGGGTTACACCTTCAGCCTTGGCTCTGGTTCTGTCTCGTGGCGGTCCACCCGTTCTTCTTCTGTTCTCAGCTCTAGTTGTGAGGCTGAGATCTACGCCACGGCCATGGCTGCACAGGAGTTACGCTGGCTCACCTACCTGCTGACTGACTTGGGAGAGCGGCCTAGTTCTCCTCCAGTTCTGTACGGCGACAACAAGGCGGCCCTTGCCTTGTGTCAGGAGCACAGACTGGAGCACAGGACGAAGCACATTGCTCTTCGCTACTTTCTTGCTCGAGAGCTTCAGCAGCGCGGTCAGCTTCGGCTTGTGTACGTGGACTCGAAGGCCAACACTGCTGATATCTTCACCAAGGCGCTCCCGCCTAGTGATCATCAGCGGCACTGTACTTCTTTAGGCCTTGTGTCCACGTTTCCTCACTTGCTCACTGCTTGACATTCTTTGTACTGTACTTTATATATATATCTTGTTGCTTGCTTGCTAGGTTTTGATCACTGTGTTGCTTGTCTTGTACTATATCTAGCACTGCATGTGAACTGGCCTTGTGGCCTTTGCTTGTGCTCGGAGTGTGGTGACGTTGTGATCCACCCTGGGCTTGCGTTGCTTTGCTGGACTGGTCTTGTGACCCTTTGTTCTCCCCCACTTTGCCTATGGGGGTGTGTTAAATTGTAATGTGTTATATGTTGGTAGGCTGTAGTGGGGTAGCCAATATGGGGTACAACCCCAACTAGGGTTTCACATTTGTACCCAAACTTCTGCTAGTTCATTCATTCTTGCCTAGTGATTTTGATACTTCTCAGTCCCCTGCGGTCATTTCGGCAAAGGACAAAGGGAAAGGGACGATCATAAGCTGCATGGCT